CCCAGGAAGGTACAGAACACTATTGCAACTGTTTTACAATCTCTGCATAACAGTAGATCTACGGCTGACTAGTCGCCACAGTACCGGTCTGATTATGGCTGAGGTCCAAGGTAGCCACAGTCCTTGTGCCTTGTGGGTCAGTTGTCTCTTGCCTTGTGTGAAAGCATAAAGCCATGAACTAGCACTATTCGCAGCTAGGCAAGAAATCAACACGAGCAGAAAAAACGAAGCTTCCGCTATTTGGCAGTTTTTGCGTTGACATCTCGACAAGCTGTGGCTGTGAGAAAAGCGTTGGCTTCTTGTGAAGGATCTCATGTGCATGTGTAGCAGCGATGCTACACCCCAGTCCTGGTCTCGACTCTTGATCGACCACTGCCGGACCACGCAGAAAACTGTGTTTCTCCGGGTGTGCAAGCTACTCTGGGTCTCGTTGTTGGTTGGCATCATGTTTCCCTTCATTCTCTGAGTCACCCTCATCATCCTTGTTATGTTACCCACTAGCGCTCGTCACCTCGTCGGTCTTCAATCACTGACTGCTGACTGGGAGACTCTCTACTACGACTACGAGTGTGTACTCTGGCTCTGCACGTACTTCGCATGCACATCGTCATGTAGATCTACATGACTGTAGTCCACATCCTTTATTGCTGAACCAGGGAGTCGTATAGGTCTATACGACTCCCTGGCTGAACCCACAAATAATTGTGATACAGATTGTAAACCATTCGAGGTTGAATAGAAAGCCATTAAAAAAAAAGAAAAAAGAAAAAAGGTTATTGTACCATGCCACTGTAGATTGTACTGTAGATCTACTGTTTTACCACAAAATACTAGTACCGGTGGTGTACCGGTAGGACACTACACTGCCAGTGGAATTCTGAACTACAACAACACACATACCAGTACATGTATTCGTACACCATCGTACACGGTGTGATGAGACTTGTTGCTCGATTTGACAAGTGTCATTTTCTGGTCAAAGAAACAACTCGACTGAGCTCATGACATGAGACTACTTTGCAGCACAGTCGACTCGAGTCACCGATACAGCCATGCACTCCGCCAACCCATGATTCGCATGGCAGCTACTGACTCACACATATCCTACTTACAGTAATAGTTTAAAAAAACTTTTATTATAAGTTATGGCGTTATGTTCACAACGACCGACTTCGAACAGTAGGCCAGTGTGCAGTCCGCTCAGCTCCCCTGCACTAGGCTGCAGGACTGACAGTACAGAGCCCTAGAGGCTAGACTAGAGCTACAAAGCTACTCGTGTCATGTTTCGCATCAACCACACATACATGGACATGCAATGATGTACGGATATCGCGATCTCAGATACAATGTATAGTAACAAAATCATACATTGTAGCATACAAAGCTTGCAATCCGACTGCTTTATCCTCCTTCTCATTCCTATCTCCCTCCCTCCTTCCCTCCCTCCCTCCTTCCCTCCCTCCCTCCCTCCCTCCCTCCTTCCCTCCCTCCCTCGATAATCCCTCTCCCCCCCCCCCCTTCCCTCTCTCCATCCACCCCTTCCTCCCTCGCCCACAACCGGCCATTGATACTCATACAATGGAGTTATCCATGACCGCTCATGCATGTTGTACATGTATTCCCCTTTCTTACGTTATTCTATAAACTGAAACTCTGTTACTTATTAGAACTTCCGAGTTGGAAGGCTGTTGGTATGCGACTTCTAGACGTGATGCAGCTAAGCATCAGGTTGTTGAAGGTCAGTATCATAGCAGTCAGGGTTGTCGCGATGCTCTGACTCATCATCGGCATCTTGCTTATACATGTACATGTATTAAATTTTGTTTGTCTAGGACACAAACAACGGATAACTTGCAAACGTTTGGTTCTCTTTTTCCATTTTATCAGTGACCGTCCTTCTTTCTTCTTGTACATGTACATGTACAATTATACAAGTAATAACAAGAGCATTAGAAGCTCCTGAGAGCTTATTTACTCTTGGTATGCCGTGTGTCATCATTCAAGAGATATCAGGAAACGCCCTCGATAGGCGAACAGCCTCTGGGGAATCCTAACTACCAAAATACGATCCCTCCCTCCCTCCCTCCATCCATCCATCCATCCATCCATCCATCTATCCTTTCCGGCATCCATCCATCCATCCATCCATCCATCCATCCATCCATCCCTGCATCCATCCATCCATCCCTGCATTCATCCATCCATCCATCCCTGCATCCATCCATCCATCCATCCATCCATCCATCCATCCATCCATCCATCCATCCATCCATCCATCCATCCATCCATCCATCCATCCATCCATCCATCCATCCATCCATCCATCCATCCATCCATCCCTGCATCCCTGCATCCATCCATCCCTGCATCCATCCATCCATCCATCCATCCCTGCATCCATCCCTGCATCCATCCATCCATCCATCCATCCATCCATCCATCCATCCCCTGCATCCGGGCATCCATCCATCCATCCATCCATCCATCCATCCATCCATCCATCCATCCATCCATCCATCCATCCATCCATCCATCCATCCATCCATCCATCCATCCATCCATCCATGATCCATCATCCCATCCCTCCCTCTCTCCCCCTCTCCCTCTCCCCCCCCCTCCCTTCCCCCTCCCTCCCTTCCCCTCCCCCTCTCCCTCCCTCCTTCCCCTCCCTCCCCGGCTCCTGAGTCCTTCCCTTTGATGGCGGCGTCCCTCCCTCTCTTCCTCCGTGCTTCCATCCCTCCACCCTGGCATCCATCCCTTTTCGCCACGAGCCCGGCCTGTACTCAGGTAGACTAAGTCTTGTAGTTGTAGTACAGTTTTCTGCATGCAGTTGATCGATACCCAGCAAATCCGTACGCATTTTCTCTGCGTGTGCCACAACGTAGAGAACCCCATCTCCGCGTAGAAATCTGGAGCCAAAACACGCGAAGCCGTAGACTCTAACCCAGACACCTGCTCTCTACGTGATTTCTCTACGTTTCACGTATAGCAGAACCTCCCTACAGTCCATTCAGAAATAAATGAACTTCTAGCTTTTGGCCATAAATGGGTCAAACGTTGAGTTTTTTTAGAATGTTTTTCTGCAATCCCATATGGAATCCTCTTCCAATTATGTTTCTGAAGTTTTTTTGTCCAAAAAGCAAGCCATAGCAAGAATAGGATTTCGGCCAGGTTTTGCCCCAAAAGCACTGAATTGGGAAAAACCATCAAAATCCAGGCCGTTTGACCCCGCCTGCAACAGTGCATTCTGCGGTTCGAACCCCAGTTCAGGCACCCTTTTTGGACCCTTTTTCAAATTTCAAAGTTCGCAGCACTGCACTGTGTACGATGAAATCACGAAAAATCGCCAAATACGGGAGCTCGCCAGAGCCAGGACCCATCTTTTTATGAATGGACTGTAGTGTCGCCCATGATTCCGGTGCGATTGAGCCAAAAAAGCAAGTAGTGCAAGAGTTTCAAGTAAAATTTAGTTGATTGTAGTTTGCCACGGTTTTGATGTCGCATCTGGTGTGGATTTCAGTGAAAGGAAAAAGTGGTTTTACTTTTTGACGATGACGTATGTATGACGTATGCATGTGCACGTGCAGGTGTGCAAAGATTTGAAAGAATGATTGGTTGGGTTTTCTGCATGAGTGACTTTTTTGAAGATGTTCAAAACACCATGACGAAAGACATGCATGCGAGAATTGTAAAATAATTAAATCGTGCACCTGACAGTGAGTGTGAAGTAACAGTTTGTCCTCTTCTCAGTTCTCTCTTTCAAGTCTTTGTCTTCCTCACACTCAGCCGAATCGCCTGGTGCTCTTTTATTGCAAAATTGTACTAGAATTTCACAATGTAGTGTAGCTTATTTGCCACTGATGGTCTGCTGCAATGTCAAATGAAATTTCCAATGCTCTGATTCAGAGGACGTGGATCTCAAGCCAAGCCAAGATCTAAGGATGATGCTACACGTAGTATTGGGAAGCTGAATGCCTGACAGTAGCAACAATGGTCATGTCTCGCCTTCACTTGGCTTATGGGCTGATGTCCTTTTGTCAGGCAGTGTTGCACAATTTGTTTTTGGTCTACCACGTCGATGTGTTCGTCTCCGTGTTCAAAATTAGTCAGAGTGCATTTTGGCTGGGCGAGGTGAGCCAATAATACTATAATAGTACTATTAGTATTAGATACTCTCCATTTTTAGAATATTTTGTTAAAAAATATTAAATTGAAAACATGGAAAATATTGGGGCACAAGTTATCAAGAGTCCATAAACAAGAGTACCGGTATGCAACTGTGATCTCTTTTCTATGGGCCAAATGCGCCGCGCGCTGCCTTCATTACATCATTCAGCTGCAGTCCGCGCACTGCGGAAAATCAAACACCGCACTTTCCCTCTGGTTTGAAATGAACTTTCGTACAGAACTGGAGTTCACGCGCCAGAATTTAGAGATCGAGCAAAAACGGATGGGCTCGTACGAGAAATTGTGAGTTTGAATGCATGCTTTCAGAGCGTGATGAAGGCAAGTTACGTAATGAAGGCAGCGCGCCGCGCACTGACCCATAACCACAGTTGCATACTCTTGTTTATGCGCTCTTGAAGTTATGCATTAGAGTCCACCAACTATACCAGATTTTTGAACGGTCAGACATGCACAATTTAGCAAAATACTGACAAGGAGTACTGAGACATTCCACGGCATGAAAGTGAGCCTGAGTACTAACTGAGTTTTTGAAAATATATTTATTTTCGATCTAGTAGTCGTTTACGTATACTACACGCCATCCGGCGTCTTCAAGTGTTTGATATGTACAAAGTGAGCACACCGACACACACACACATGCACACACACACACACACACACACACACACACATGCACACACACACACACACACATGCACACACACACACATGCACACACACACACACACACACACACACACCTGTCCTGTAGAGTCACTGCCGCAAAAGGGTCGCGTGATCCCATCACTGGGAAACTTGAGAAGAGAGAGAGAGAGAGGGCACGACGCCCGATGACGCTCCAGGTGCACGGGTAGTCGCATCCGCTTGCCGCATATGCACACGTGCTGGAAGGTTGAGCGCTCCTCTGCTTTTGGTCTATGCGCCACCCTTGAACAGCGATGCCTGCCCCGTCCCCGGACACCGCGAAAGCAGCGACCACACCCGTCACAATGCGCGGCACAACATCCCTCCGACGTTCTGGTAGCTCCAGGTGGCACTGTGGCATCCACCGCCGAGGCACACACATGCCGGACCAAGCCACCGCGGCTTCTCAGCCACCGCCCACACTGACTGGCGCCCCGCTGCTCAGGCACAGGCCGCACACGCTCCTCCAGACACTTATGCCGAGCCATGTCTCCTTTCCGTGAAAAATCCCGTCCGCATACCGTACATACCACTCGGGGCGGAGGCTCAGGCACATTGTCAGGCTCTTGGTAGGTGCTGCGCCACTCCGCGCGAGACTCACATGCAACATCATACCATGATGCCTCCACACCACGGGCACGTAGATCCCGGACAGCACAGTCCTTCCACCTGCGGCGTGGGCCATGTGCCGGGCGACGCTGACACACACACAAACACACACACACACACACCAGCTCGGAAACCAGACTAGTTTGCCCGGTCCGAAAGGCCGTAGGAATTCCGAGGATCCACGGTGTATTGACTCCCATTGAATGTCGTTGATTTTCTGAATTTGCCTGGGCAGGCCATCTTTCTGATATGGAACTCTCTGAATGATTCCTTGTTTGGCTGGTTCAGCGACAGTTCGTTCCTCAAGTCAGACTCTAGGTGAGCAGTGAGTACTATTTTGTACATGTAAATCAATGGTGTGGTGTGCGCATGGCAAGACCTAGATTGAACCAGCACTGCATGCGACGAGTTTAGATGTAAATCAATGGTGGGGTGTGCGCATGGCAAGACCTAAATTGGAGCAGCACTGCGTGCGTAGAGTTCAGATACCCAGTGCGATATCATGTTAGCTTCTATATTTTCATTAGAAATTACAAATCAATGTATCTTCCACAAGTCTCATACTGGAGCAATGTTTGGCCATGTAGATTTCAAATGCAAGCCAGTTTTTTTCTTTCAGAGTGGCAATAAATGGTAGCCTGTACAATGGTATAATAGTTAGGCTGGTGTGAGAGAGAGAGAGAGAGAGGGGGGGGGGGGGGAATGATGTATGATGAAAGGCTGATGGCCATTCAAATAAAAATGAATTAATCGATGTACTGTCGTGGACATGGAAATCCGGTAGAATGACGCGGGTTCAGCGCCCGCAATGCGTACGGAACATTGCAGTGTACGTGCTGGCCGTATGCGTACTCACGGCTGCATGGCCAGCGCCCCGGGGCACTTGAGCTCCGACCGGATTTCCATGTCCACGACAGTACAATGCTGGTCTTTCTTCTTTAGTGAGACGGTATGTTTATGTGATCCATGTATGTTTTGTTTTGTTTCTCCTTAGCAGTTCTTGCTGACATCAATGTCGCAATGCATGGTCTTTGTTTTGTTTATCTTGTTGTTCACTGTAACATAGTTCTTCGTCTGGACTCGGCACAGTGTCGCGGAGAATCAGGTAACGGGACGCACGCTTCTCTTTCCGTCTGTGTGGGTGGGGGTGGTGAGCCACGTCGATTGTGTCACAGGCCCTCGCCCGCCATGCTGGGGTACTACTTTGGGAAATTCAGGGTTGCTGTGGCTTGGTGCATAGTTAAATTGTACTGTATGTGTATAAAAAAAATCACGGTTCACGTGAGACTCGGCCTCCGCATTCATAGGAGCGCCACCACCCTTCAAGGATCAAGGCGCGGATGCAGCTCCTAAAGCGATAAAAGTAATATCGTATGTCCCCCGCACCTTTAAAACCATGGCGGTATATTCAATTATAAAGCCAGTCTCAGTGATTAAGCCACGGGCTTCGTGAATGAAATGACATTTGAAGTATGTTTTGCAAAAATGAAGGAATAAGTACTATGCTAACAAACTTACAGCCCAGCAGGAAGGGTGAACAAGTAGATTTAGATTGAAATTTCTGTGTGGACTTTGACTTTTATGGCATGGCATGGCGTAGTGGGTGAGTCATTTTGCATCTAAAATATCTAGGAAAGCAGCAGTGTTTCGATTACAAGGCCATGGCTTTAAAGGCGCTGACATACGGTGTGTACTAGTTTCGCCGAAGGGTGTAGATCTGTGCAGATAAGGTCTCCGATGGTGAAAACTCATATGGCATGAAACACTACTGTTGTAGCTGGTCTCACAGATTGTATTATTGGTGCAGTACGTTGCAGCCTCCATGACTGATCAAAGATAACGTTAAAGACGAATTCTGTAGTGTAGAACCCGCATGCGAGTTGTGCACTCTGATTATTTGTTATAGTACGCATGTAGTTTTATTATGGCGTGTAATGCTACCCTATTGCTTGGTGACATCGGACCATTGTCTTAGCCTTAGGTACACTGCAGCACTGTCTGGACTCGACTTTTGTGATGCAGTCCTTTGTGTGCGGTGGGCTGAACTCGACGGTCACTGGTGTGTGTGTGTGTGTGTGTGTGTGTGTGTGTGTGTGTGTGTGTGCGCGTGTGTGTGTGTGTGTGTGCGTGCGTTTGTGTGTGCGTGCGTCTGTTTGCGTGTGTGTGTGTCCATACTTGTGTCCATGTGCATGTCTCCAGTGCGATAGAGCGCTGTGGTCCGCTGTTTGCGGCATCGTTTCTCCTGGTATGGTACGCATGGCCATGGCCTGGACTGCAATTTGTCTTCTGCCTTTGTCTTTATGATGGGTGAGTGCTAGTACTGGTGCTGATGTTAAGGGCTTGACTGTGTGCTATCAACTTCTTGTTCCAACTAGAATCCTGATAATGCGAACCCCACATTGCGGGAAAACTTCTTATTCTCCAACCGTGTACAGTCTTTCCGCTGTAGAGTGACCGAGTGTAAGGATGCACCACTGCCTAATGTAGATCTACACAAATGACCATGGGGACGCAGTCGTGCCTCACGTAACTTACATGTGCATGTGCATGAGTTATTGCTCGTCGTGATGCATTGGATATTAGTGATGAAATCGTGGAAAACAGAAAGGTACGATACAGACTGGACCCTCGACACATGTACATGTATGTCGAAATGCTCGCTTTGTCACATAGGGTTGCGATATGCAGTATGCACTGTTGGTACAGATTTCACGTGCGCACGCCCGCACACTGCACTGGTCAGTACAGCCTGCTCACGCACGCCGAACTGACCAGTACAGTGTACAGTGAACGTCAAGTAATGCCTTGCTTACTTCGAATTATCTACAGGAATCCCACATCTCTTTTATGCAAGCAGATTTTGGGGGGCTCCTAATTAGGCGCACATTCTCAGTTCGAGGTTCTCAGATGTGTACCGGTAATATTCTCATGCCGCCCTAGATTATAAATTAACTTTTTCCCACATTTGGTTCATCTCTTCTTTTCTTTGCCTTTCTCTGTGCGTAGTTCTTTGAATGTGTGCTGCTAAATGTGCATTTGGTGTGCAGGGCATAGTTTTGGGAACGTGCGTTCTTACTGTATCAGGCAGCTGTGTTGATTGGGTTTGCCTGTGTCAGGTCACTACCATATCCTAATGCAGGGCTGTGTTTGTGTTGCGTTGCAGCTTTTTGACTGTAATTGACCTGCATCACTCTGCACTTCTTGCCGACATGGCTGTTACGCTGCCCGACCGCACACGCCTGGAGTTTGCTTGTTCGGTTTTCAATGCCGCCGGTACGATGTCACTGTTTGCCTCCTACTTTGTGTGGGATCGTGGTGATCTATCGTCATTCCGTGTGGTCTGTACGATACTTGCCATTGCTTCCGCCGCTGGCTTTGTCCTGTCGGCAAAAGTGATGAAAACGGCCAGCGCTCAGATGAGCATTGGATCATCAAAGAAAGACGACGATGTTATTTCAAGTGGCCGGTATGTTCTGGTTGATAGGTCATATACACTCGCATTGCTTGTGCTTGTGTGCTTATATCTTACTACAAGTATCTGCTTTGATGTACGGGTTCAATTGGGTTGGGTGCATGCATGTACACGTGTGTGTACACTTGTGTGTGTGTGGCTGTGCAAGTAATAGAGGTTATAGGTTTATAGTTTTTTTTTACACGGAACTCCTCCTGTAGAACACTGATGGCAGTCTTCAAACTCTAAGAGAGAGAGATAGATGTGTTCTTCTTGTTCTTCCCCTGTGCTGTAGTCATGTGCAAGACAGCCATGCTGGTAGGGACTCCCATTCGTCCTGGACGGCCTTGAAGCTGTTTTCCAAGCAGATCTACCACCATAAGAATTTCAAGTGGTTCACGTCAATGAATCTCTTACAGGTAGGGCTACAACTAACACAGGTCTTCCCTCGTTATTAGACAACCCCAGCGGTTTCAAATTCGTTGTCTTATATCTAGTGAGTATTATCTACTATCCGGACTATGCACGTGTTTTAGACGTCAGGAGATTTTGCATCGCTGTCTACTGAAGAGGTTTGTTTTGTAAGCGATGTCGTACTAACCAGGGTGGACCTGTTGTACCGGTACTTTACGGTACTGCCAGTCAACAGATTGGGTCCAGTGGAAATATCAGGAGAGGCTGTATATAAAAACGGCTTGATCTTGGTGAAATATTAGTCCGTTTGCTGCGGTGGCTCAGCTCAAGCTGTAGGGTTGATGTGGTTGTGTGTTGTGTTGTGTTGTGCTGTGGACGAATACTGCAGGTGTTCCACTGTCACTTCAACAGCAACTTCTTCCCGCTGTTCCTGGAGCACATGCTGGGTGACTCCGTGTCGGCGTGGACGTCGGCATCGCTGCTCAGCGTTTCGTTTGTGCTGCCGCACATCAACAACCTGTTCTTCCTGTCACTGTGCCGAACGTACGGCGTCTATGCCGTGGTGCGCGGACTGTTCGCCCTGAAAATCCTGATGGCCGTGGGGATGATTCTCGCCGGCTCGCAGAATTTCTTTCTACTGTGTGTATTTATCATGAGGTGAGTGGTTGCTGCACGTACTAGTGTAGTCTGAGTGGTTGCTGCACGTACTAGTGTAGTCTAAGTGGTTGCTGTGCGTACTAGTGTAGTCTGAGTGGTTGCATGTTCATGTCACGTTACATCATGTAGCCGGACTTCTTCGACTTAGAGGTCAGTTTCAGGTGCTGAGCTTTGTAGTAAGGGTGCGCTTACGTTTCTTTGTTCTCGCATGAGTAGGTGGTTTATTCTTAGGCGGCTTCTTGTTGCTTTCTACTCACCGTTGGTTCCTTAGTGTAGTGGTTATCACATTTGCTTTACACGCAAAGGGTCCCGGGTTCGATCCCCGGAGGAACCTGTGCGGTCTTTTTTTGTTTGTCTCTTGTTGTTGATCTCTGTTGTAGCAATAGTTTTTCTTTCTACATTTCTTTCCTTTTTGTCTTTCTTCTTTCTTTCTTTCCTTTTCCGCTCAGCAACCGTGTGTTCACTGAGGGCACATGTAAACTGTTGAACTTGGTCATTAGTGACTTGGTTGATGAAGACTACGTAATCCACGCCAGGCGCACACCCATATCGGCATTGATGTTTGGAACGACGGCCTTGCTCACGAAGCCCGGGCAAAGCCTAGCTCCGTTGATGGGAATCTGGCTATTGACTAGGCTGACGGGTCATTCTCCGTTCGCTGATCAAAAGGTGCGTTACGATTGTGCTTGTGTGAGTGTGCATGTGTGTGTGTTGAAGTCTGTGTGTTATGACCATATGGGTGCCAGAGATGTGAGCAAAATATGCAATAATAGAGAGGTTCTGCAAAACGAAAATGTGTACGAACTTTCGCTCTACGTCACGAAGTGAGAAACTTCGCACGAACTTTCGCAACTTTGGACGCGAAACTTGCAGGGAACGCGAAATGAACTTTCGTAGGAAGTTTCGTGAGATTGGGTCATGTTGTACGTGCACTTGGCGCGTGTAAACTACGAAAATGTGCAGAACACAAAGTTCGTGCGAAAATTCGTACACACTTTCGCAAGGCCTGTCGCGAAACTTCGTTCGAACTTTCGTTGTGCAGAACCTCTCTAATGAAGTAAATTAACATCATGAACTTGTTTCCTTTTTTTAAGAGGTTTAAAAGAGAGGAAGGCTGAGAAAGGTTCATTCTTTTGTTACTGGAGAGGACTATGCACGGGTGCAGTTATAGGGGGAGGGTGCACTGTACGTGCATTATTATTCCCAAAGTGTCCCCAAAAGAGGCTGCATAGATGAGTGGTGTGTTTCCAACGAGACAGTTATCACACATACATTTCGCAACTTTGCCGCCTTGGTCATCCTAGAAACCTGCTCTATCAACACTCCTCTTCAGAACACGTTTGAGCAAAGTAGAGATATGCATTATTAATCTTATCACATCCTATTCATGTTATTCGCAAGTGGTCGTTATTCGCGACGTTGAAAGCATTGAAGTTTCCTCAGAGACAAAAAATGCTACTACAGTCGTCCCTCTCTAATCCGGCACCTTTTGCTACGGCGTTTTCTGCTGGATTAACGAGGGTGCTGGATTAAGAAATCCTGCCCTCTGACCCGGCCCTACCCAATTGCATGCATGTATCATATGTACGTCAAAACGCAGGGTTTTTCCGTGTCGACCCAAGTATTTGGTGCACGGCTTTATATTCTCAATTGTTCTCCGGGAATATACACAGTGATAAAGTGATAAAGTAAAACAGAGAACATGTTCACATGTACTCTTGCACACACACGCACACACACACACACACCTGAAAATTGGCAGGACACTACTCCTTGCTAAAATAAGAAAGTATGGTTGACTGCCGTTGTCTCCTGGACAAGCCTAGCCTGGCCTGGCAAGGAGTGCACCTGTACGGTACGCGATTTACGACTGCCGGATTATGAAACCAAACTACGTGCAGTTTGAGCGATTCGTTTCAAAAAGTCACTGCCGGAGGCGGAATTTAAGTGCCGGATTAAGATGTAGGAATTGAACGAAAAAAATCGGTTTCGTCAGAAAGTGCGCCGGTTGGCAAGGGTTCCGGATAAACAAGTGCCGGATTAGAGAGGGACGACTGTACTTGGTCCGCCAAGTTAAAATTGGCGCTTATCTTCATACTTGATTTTTCGGTGTTCTGCATGTGTCATACGGCATGGAACCACCGATTCACCATCCGAGCATAGCCATTGACCATTGCATCCGACGACGTGGCAGCACAAACCATCACAGACGTTGCGATCGGTTCGTTTGAGTCTTTTTGACGGAGCTACCACCGACGAACACTTCCGTCAGTGCAAGAAAACACTGCAACCTCCACTCGAGTCCGAAAAGTAGGTCGGGATTTCAGAGCGATGGAGAATACAGTTTCTGTCTATTTCCAGCTGGCTGGTGGCAAGGATTGTTTACCGCGGGGAGGTATAGAAAAGCTGAAAAAGCGCTTCGCGAGCTTGAATTTCAGTGCTGGCACAGTTCAGCGCCTAGTGAAGAGTTACCCCCAGCAAATCGCTGACGAAGGAACTGCAGCTCATGTCGACATCTCCAGAAAGTGAGACCTATCCGGCGGACATACTCTGAAACTCACAGAGGACCGGGCAAAAGAGCTAATCAAAATAAACACCAAGTCCTGAGGGAAGCTCTCGTGCAAAGGACTTTCAGGAAACTAGCCGAAAAGCCTGGTGCAAGGCGTTAGGTTTGAGGTGCAGTAAGCACAGCCACAGGTGCTACATCAAGTGGAAGGTATCACTGCGCTGCATGTACAGGCACCAGCGGCTCGCGCGGGTGCTGATCATCAAGTACGACAAGCGCAAAAGGCGATTTGAAAAAAAGACACTGATGTGGCGTTGCCTATTTGTCTCAAACTAAGCCCCATTATTGCGACGGACGGGGATAACACTTTCAGCCAACACGCGGGCAGTCTCACTCAGCTTCTGAGCGGCAAGGTAACCGGCACCCACTGCCTTTGAGCGGGATTCGAGACGAGAAGAAGTGGAACAAGCTATGAAACGTGCAGCAGCTGTCCGGATCGAACATTTTGAGCTCTTCCTCCAGCGACAATAGTGGCGAGGAGGACGTGCAACTTTCTTGAATTTTCGGCTGAGTTGCTTACTGACATGTAAATAATCATGTACATAGCGCTTTGTGATCGTGGTATGCTTCAAATATCTGTATTTCCTTCCTGAGACAAGTGTGAAGGTAAGCGCCAATTGTAACTGGGCAGACCAAGTAGTATAGCACTTTGACTTAGTAGGAACACACAATTCAGGTTCTTTAACAACATGTTTCACGAGTAAACTTTCGTGCCTTCTCTTCATTCAGGTGATAGAAGGAACAACGAAAAGGTGCACGTGTGAAGAAACCTAACAAGCATGAAATGCAGTGCGACAACAATAGGCAACCAATGGACATACCGTATTTTTCCATTCATAAATCGACCCGTTTAATATGACCTTAAAACGTAATTAGAAAAGGGGCAGTTGACCTACAATGGGTTTTTTTACCTCTGTTAGGTAGGTCGTCAACAACTTGTTACAGTCAGACCTCGCTTAACCGCACACATCTGTTTTCCACAAAAATATCCGGATAGGCGAGGGAACCGGATAACTGAACACACATACTGTATATGCATGTGGCATATCAAAAGCAGTGACATCGTACATACATGTAGACGGGTCCTATGCAGTACAACTAGCGTGCACAGTATGTAAAACAAGCTTGAAAAATGACAAGTGCATGCAACTGAGTGCTGTCCACATGCACCCAGCAGGTCAAGGACCTCATTTGCCTGTACAACTCCCTGATTCTAGCTTCTGCAAGGCACATGCAACCGGATACGATGAAGCTTTTTGTACACATTTCAACCAGTTTGTACACAAAATCATGCACCGGTATGCAGATCGCGAGGTCCGGTTATGTTGTATGCATAACATATGCTGCACATCGGTAACCAGCGATTTTCTTCCGGATGGCGAGGGATCCGGATAAACGAGTACCGGATAAGCGAGGTCTGACTGTAGTTAGGTCCATGGGTTGCCTATTATTGTCGCACTACATTCACCCTTGTTAGGTTTTCCAAATTTCCACACTTTCACCTTTTTGTCTTTCCTTCTATGTGTGGCGTTGTTGTTTTAGCTTTTCTTCCTTGCATCGTTCTATCATCTCTCTACTGTTCTTGTTCCTTTGCTCTTACCTTTCTATCACCTGAAGAGAAGGCACGGAAGTTTACTTGTGACGAATGTTATTGAAGAGCTTGAATTGAAAGTATTGATGTTACTTGGTGGTGACAGTCAATTTTTTCTTCGGACTTTTCCCTTTTCCATTCCCTCAAACTAGTGAATTATCAGAATAGGTGAAGATAGTATGTTATTTGCGAGTTGTGACACGTGACGTTCTCTAAATATTTCTTTCTCTGTTGTTAACAGGCAGCTGTGGACCCAGTGTTAGCGGATAATCCACTGGTGGTAGATGGCATGTCGGCCGTGGCGCAGGGCTGGTCTCACCTGGGCCCACTGCTCGACATGCAGACCGCCTGCTTCTACATCCTGGTGGCGATACCGCTGCTGTGTGGCTTGCTGCAGCTGGTGCTCTGGAGCCAGTTCACCTTGCACGGCGCACGCTTAGCTAGTATCAAGCGCCACCGCATGATGGCGGACTCCAGTGGGTCGGCAACAAGAGAACCAGTATAGGATGCCTGTGTTATTTATGTCAGTTCTGTTCTGGTGCCTGTGCTCAACGCACGGTTCTCTGACGTAAGTTATTTGTTTTACATTTCAAAAAGGCTCCATTTAATTTTGCTGCTTTCTCTGCTTGCTATCACTGAGAATGCTTGAACATCTTTTCATTGTAAGTTCCTTAAAAATCATTTTCTGTTTGGTTTGTTCGTGTGACAGCGATATAACTTATAAAGCTATAAGCCTTGACTATGAAAGCAGGGAGTAGTAAAATGCCATATTATATTTTCTACTACCTGTTGCACGTTGAAGAAAGTTCCACAACATAACAGTCATTTGCCTTCAATTTTATTACAACGGTTTTCTCTCAATGCAAACTCTCCCATCGGTCTGCAGTGCTAGGTTTTAGTGTGGCAGCAGGCTGCCAATATTCAACTGCATGTAATTTTAATTCTCTCCTGTTTTCATTGCTTTCTGTCGTATTGTGTTTGCAATGTTGCACTTCAATGAAGGCAATATCCCTGTTGACATCCCCAAACTATCTTGTATTTATTTTTCCAACTTTGCTGCTGAGTGAATGTCAGCGCTCGCACATTGTTTGTTTTTAGTAGATGGCCAGGTTTTTTTTTCAACTGTAGGTGCTTGATTCGTCACTGTTGTGTTCTACTGTGGAGAAAGACAAACATCGTGGTGGTATAGTGCTGCTGTGCTGCTCTCTTAACATCATGGTGGTATAGTGCTGCTGTGCTGCTCTCTTGTTAAATCTAGCTCCCATAGTGCCGGGCTCGTTTTCAAAGTTTAGGAGGCGCTTTGCTCTGTCTGGTTTTGTTCAACTAACTTCCTTGGTCGTGTTACCAGTACCGTGTTAGTGACGTATTTACATAATCATTGTTAATTTGTTATACTTCACAATACTATTGCAGGTGCCATCGCCTGCTGCTAACTGAATTGTCATGGCATGTAGCCATTCACTAGTGTATTACCAGATCATTATTGCCACGGTCTTGGGTAAACATTAGCACGTCAGCTAATTTGCTCTCTTGCAGTAACATCACGAGTACATAATATTATAACCCCAGGCCAGGGGTTATGTTATGTACTCTTGGTAACACCCACTTCAAGAGTTGAGGGAATAACAATAATAGCTACAAGGCGGCGCTCAGGCCGCTGATCATGTGCAGGCTGTATGTCTTATCTACCATTGTATGGTCTGCAGGATGGATTCCTGCAGCTGTGTGTGTGTGTGTTACCGCGGAACTACTTCGCCGGAAGAACCCGATCACCAGCTGATCACGGGATTTACAGTGTCCCTTCCGAGTCTATTTTTAGCTGCTACTACTACACTGCATGATCTACACTAGTACAGTGCTGGCAACTGAAATCCGACTCCCCAAGGGAGTCGGATTTCAGTTGCCAGCACTGTACAGTCATGACTCATGTACTTGGGACTTCTAGATTCTCTTGTTTTTATTTGGGGCATGTGGAAGCAGGTGGCACCGTGCTGTGCAGCTAGCTAGCCTCACGAAGTGACAAGTCTGTCAAAGTGTCATGAAGACAGCTAGCTCTCACGTGCTTTGAATGGGAGGACATAATTCTCTGCAACACGCTCCAGATCAGGACCAACCCACTTACCCAGTAGATCTACAGGGTTCGCGAGTTTTCTAGACTGAGCCTCTGAGGACGACACTTCGCCAAGCTAGTACTAGCTGCTACGCAACTGCAACATAGCGGCCGCCTGGACAAGATAGTGCATGCCAGAATGTACCATACGCATGGCTCCCGGGGACCCCCGGCCCCGAAGCCAGCAAAGTACGTAGATCTACACACAAATGGGTGGTTTGAACTTTCATGCGTTGTGAGCACAACTTCTCTTCCGCCGAACAAGCTTTCGCCATCACCTTCATTCTACCGCAGCCACTAGCCGATTATGAAGGTTCTGCTGCTCGTAGCCTGCCTTGCTGCAGTGGCTAACTGCATGCCCATGCAGCGTCAGCTGGACCTGCAGTACTCGTACACCGCTAACGAAACCCAGGTGAGTAGTTGCATGGTGTTGGCCTTTTCGGAGTTCAACACTTTACTTGTATGGTCTCCATGTTTGGCCTGAATCAGTACGCCACAGTCATGCATTTGCTCCAGGAAGCTTACAGGTGGATGGTTTTGCATGCTCTCTAGCTCTCTCTCCCTGTATCTGCACTGCAATACTACAATTGTAGCGCCCACAATATCTTCTGTAGTCTTGAGCTACAGCCCAGTACAGGACTCGGTATGTGTCCTGTCATACAAAACATCACACCCAACTTCAACCAGCAGATCTTTCCTGAACAACACTGCAACACAAAGCACATGACCCGACTGTACATCTACATGTAACATGATTATTGTATCCTCTGGACAAGGAGATTGGCCGCTGTTGAGCTACCGGTATAATAATTATAATGATGTAAATATGTCCAGTATAGCTTTGTCATGCACCATTCAGAGTTTTGTCTCGGCTGCATGCAGCAAGACGTTTTTATCTGCTGACATTGAATATGCACTCTGCTTGGCAACTGGCTTGACAATATGTACGGCACAGTGACACTAGATAAGAGAGAAAGGGAATGTTGCTATGTGCTGGTGAGATGATCATGCATTGACACGGTACTGACAGACATTGTGTGTCTATTGCCTGTTGGAACATAAAAATTACTATGTAGCTGGAGCACCACCATGCCTTCAGCGAACTCGGCGTGGACGTGTCCCAGCCCACGGGCCTCACGGCGTTCAAGTGCCTGAAGCAGAGCGGTCACAAGTTTGCCATTGTGCGTGCGTATGAAAGCATTGGTAAGTCGACCGGGGCCATGTTTGTTCAGTGTCAACATGCTGCAGGGCCATCCCCCCCCCCCCCACCCCCCCCCCCCCCCCTCAGTGGTTGATCTATTATAATAGGCTTTATGAATTTCACTTTCCACCATCGCACATGATGCTATAGATGGTGCTACTTGAAGTACTTCTTGCAGTTGTAACGGAATCACAGCCATTCCGTTCCCCGGGACGCAGGACACAAAGGACAAGACTGGTTTGTATTACATTATTTATATTGACAATACGGAAAATGGAGACAATACTCAAAGGGACGAACAAGAAGACTGACAAAAGGACTCTCGACTACAAAATCGCGCATGCTCATATGAGTCATATCACACATGCACGCGACTAGACGAGACAGTTTGGGGAATGCCATCACACAGGAAAACAACACATCATTTTACAACACCTGCCCCCTTGATGACATTCCACAAAAATTAATAATAAACCGACACCCCGTTCCACATGCACAACAGCAAAAGGAACCACAGCAAAACAGAAAAACGAAAACCAACCAACAACCTAGAGCCGACGCTCTAAAATAATATCCGGGCCACGAAACAGGGCCAAACAAAAACCTAGAGCCGACGCTCTAAAACCAGGCCACGCCACACAAGGCCAACCGAAACACGGGAGCCGAAGCTCCAACAAAATAATAACATGCGCACAGCCGCACCAAATAAATCTACAACAAAATCAATGGAGAACAACAGAACGAATAGAAGAGCAACAGACCGACAACAACCAAACTGAAACAACACAGCAACAAGCAACGAACTGAACAGAGAGAGAACAACACAGCGAGCAAGACAACAAGACGAACAACAAGGACGACACACAGTCGGTGACGCCAGACTCGTCCACTGTCCTCTGGCGAGCCACGGCCACACGCTCCGTCGCGGTTCCTGCCGTCTCAGGCTCCAGTCCACAGTGACTGTTCTAGTCATCACCTTCTCTGCCTCCTCTCCGCGTCGTCTTCCGCTCCCACCAGCTCTTCACCTCCTCCGCTACCACGCTCTGCTTACTTCAAAGTAACAGTTACTTCGCTGTTGACGACGATGAACAGACAGACTCATGACAAACTTACTCATCCTCTGCGTCCCGGGTTTCGGCACCACGTTCCACATGCACAACACACAGTTTGGGGAATGCCATCACACAGGAAAACAACACATCATTTTACAACACAGTACAGTCAACTTCGCTAATAACGACTGCGGATATAACGACAATTCGCAAATAACGACAGAATTTCCATGCCCAGAGCAAAGTCCATTCTACCTGTAAACATGAGACGTCGGGTATAAGGACACTTTGCGAATAAGGACACTTTTCTGATGCCCAGCCAAGTGTCGTCATACGCAAAGTTGACTGTACATGTATCAAGAGTGCATAATCCCTAGTGTGCCACTTACCAGTCACCATGGTCACTGAGTTTGACCTTTGACCTACCTGCACCGTATTGCCATGCTCTGCATAACTGTGTGATTTGATGATTTACTTTAGTACTGTATAATATGTATGTGCAACTGTCATGGCCGTCCGTTGTCTGCTTCACGATAGGTGCGCCCGACTCGCATGCTCCCGCCACCATCTCCAATGCCTGGGGAGCTGACTTCAGTCACGTCGATGTCTACTTGTTCCCATGCTATCGCTGTGGCAATCCTGCCGCTCAAGTCCAGTCCATGGGTAAGCTGTGCGGGTCGTGAACACGTTCATCGTGCTCCTGAGATGAGCCTTCCACACTCTGGGCATTGGCATGCAGTGCGCATGCATGTGCACTGCATGCTGAGGCACAAGGCAATGAATGATACATGTAAATGTAGATCAGTGCCCACAAGTGACAAATGCCTTGCCAAGCAAGATGGTGGGCCGGGGTGATACACGTGTTTGCTTTCTCGTGTGCGTACTAGTCCCTGAGTCAGTGTACTTACCTGCGTACATGTACACGCATTGTACTGCCCTGCCGCGTGTTAGTGTGACTTGATGCTTTCAATTAATGTTTAGTGTATGGTCATGTGTGTGTGTGTGTGTGTGTGTGTGTGTGTGTGTGTGTGTGTGTGTGTGTGTGTGTGTGTGTGTGTGTGTGTGTGTGTGTCCCATATGGTGCAGTGGTATGTGCAGCGATTTCCAATCGATAGGTTGCAGGTTCGATTCCCGACGATTATGGTCACACACGTCTTTCTTCTCTTTCTCAGACTCTTCCTGTCTTTTCTTTCATTCTCCTGGGTGGTTGCCAACAGCCAGTGCATGCCGGAGTATGTGGTGTGATGTGTGTGCGGGAAGAAAAGAAAGAAAAAAAGACCAAAAAGTAGGGATTCACTGGCCAGAAAAAGCCACTTCATAGCTGCGTGGTGTAGACCAGGCTGAATAGTGGCGGCCAATTCTTCAGCCTTGCAAGCTGTTGAATAGTGCAATCCCAGCACAAGTTGCTATGGCTTCTGCTGTAGCATAGCTATCATCGCCTCCGGCGATGGGCGTCCACTGGTCCAATGGTGTGTGTGTGTGTGTGTGCGTGCGTGCGTGCGTGCGTGCGTGCGTGCGTGCGTGCGTGCGTGCGTGCGTGCGTGCGTGGTGTGAAAAAATGGAAAAAATGAAAAATGAAAAATAGGGATTCGCTGACCACAAAAAGTCACTTCAATCAGCTGTGTGGTGGATACCAGGCTAAAAGTTAGTGGCGGTCAATTCATCAGCCTTGCAAGCTGTTGAATGGTGTAATCCCAGCACAAGTTGCTATGTCTAACATAGCTGTTCGCTATCATCGCTTCCGCGATGGGTATGTCTGAGTCTGAGTGTGTGTGTGCCGTGTGTGTGTGTGTGTGTCTGTGTCTGTCTGTGTGCTGGCTGCAGTGAGCCACCTGAGTGGCTCTCGCTACGGTATGATTTGGCTGGACGTTGAGGTACGGCCAATCTGAGACTCTACTTTATCTGCACTGCCCGGTTTCATATACACACATATCTCGTTTATCCGGGCGGTCCGGGACTGGGCACTGCACGGAACTTTGAAATGTCCGCAGCTCCAAATCACATACATGTTGATTTGGAAAGGCCATAGATATACATGACGTCACTACTTCCACAAAAAGTGATAAAAGAGTTGTAATATTTCCACTGAAACTCACCCAAAGGGTGCCCGGTAGACTGAAATGCCCGTAACTTCGGGGTCTGCATAACCGAGGTATGAGTGCACGTGTAGTTATAACAAAATTTAATGTCCATGGCGGTCCAACATAATGTCATTAAATTTATTGAAGGTTTTTGACTACATGTATGTTCAATCATTGTTGTAGTGCTATGCAATGGCATGAGTGCATGTGTTTCTGCCATATGCCCGGCCTGGAAGTGATGAACGAATACCAGTACTTGCGCTTGTTGTGTTTTGCATTAGGGATCATGGAGTTCTTCAAAAACGGACAACCAGAATTTCTTCACTGAACTCGCTGCAGCAGCCCGTGTAAGTCTAACAAAGTACACAGTTCTTTCCACAAGCCTGAGTGCAAGTTGCGAGGTGTCTTTTCCTGTGGAATGACCATGGACTCTTGATGATATGCCATGGTCACTGGTGATCAGTCTGGTGTAAGAAGATCATGTTTTGGTGTCACTTCGCTGGCGCAACACCGGGCTTAGGCAAGTTTCGCTGTATTCAGGTGGAACATGCATGTATCAGTATGTCATGTAACTGTACTCTTGTGCATGTGTGTGTGTGTTTGCATTGTAGAAAGAGAAGTCGACCGGCGTGTATACATCTCAATACCAGTGGAGCAGCATAATGGGAGATTGGGATGGTGGAAGCCACTTGCCTCTCTGGTAAGACAATAGAAAGTGACTCATCGCTAGGCTAGCGGGTACTGTAAGGAATGGATTTACACGGAGTCACTCTATTTGTTAGAAATAGCCCGGCTACAATCAGTACAACATGTACACCAAACCCTCGCTTATCGGGGCATCTCTCTCAACTGGCTATTTGAAGGACTAGTCTGGGACTGTAGAGTAGCATTTTCAGTTTTTCACTACATGTACTTCGAAACACAGTTGCGCTCAGTGAAGTCCCACTTACATCGTTGCATTTGCACATGTGTACATCCAGCCGCAATCGTGCCACTTGCAGGGCGTCGAGGGCCGCGCAAGCTGAGGGCGCCAAATATGCACTTTTGGGGGTTTCCCCTAGCACAACTGTTCCTGTACTACTGTACTACTACGGCATATTGTATTCTCAATGTGTGCAGCACATACATGTGTGTGTGTGGGCTGTAGACACTTATTCGATGCCATGCTGTATGACACAGCATTAGAATGATTTCCATTTTTTCCATGCACCACATGACCTTCCTCCACTGTGTTCTAGGTACGCCCACTACGACAACAACCCCTCGTTCTCCGACTTTGAGAAGTTTGGCGGGTGGGACCGTCCCAACGTGAAGCAGTATGAGGGTGATAAGTTTGAGTGTGGTAAGTGAGATCAGATGCCGCTGTACATACTGATACTAGTGTACAGTACAGCCTGTGTTTGCTGGACCCTCAATCAAGCAGACTCCTGTGTTGACCGGGAACATTTTTCACGCACCAAAGTGCTGTGGATCGAACGTGCATCCCTGACTCAAGCAGACTCCTGTCATATTAGACAAGATAGACTACGCTGCACGAAAGGCATCCGGCTAGGGCAAGTTTTACTGTCACTGATACTCATACTCGAATGCACTTCACACATTATGTATATTGGTGATGGGATCCGGACACTGGTGTGCCGCTCTCTGTGTGGCAAGTTTTACAGGTTTGAGGGAAAGGGGTCCCCACCCTCGACCATAGTTCCACATAATATAGTGTGAAACCTGCACACCGCCAACGTGTGATGTGTAGCTAAATCCTACACCATGGCTACAGCTATGATGGGTCTAACTTTATTAGTATTAGGCTAATGTCAGTTGATGCCGAGTAGGTGCTAAACTTGCATGGGCATGACGCACTTGTGAGCAGCCCACTGCCCTTGTGTGTGATTTTATTCTGTAGGTGCTGGTGTGGATCTCAACTACGAGCCTGGCTTGTAAAGCTGCAATCAGCAATGTCATGCGGCAGGCATGCATCCATGCCTTTGCAGATGCAACTGGAACTGGAGGCTCTAAGTGTCCTGTACCTTGCAGCACCTCACACAATACACTGCTGGAACATGTGTTTCTCTCAACCATTTTCTTGTACCCGACTAAAACTAGCGGGACCACGTCAGATGAGAAGAGCTCCCCTGGTCCAGGGCATGGATGCATGCACGTACTGATATGATTTGTGAAGTTGCCGCCCTGTTCTTGTTGTCTTACTGGTATATTTTCCCCTCGTCGTTGTGAGTTTGTCAAACTTAAATTCCAATCATGTTCCCCATTAGCATAAACTGAGGGTTCCCACGTGTATAATGTTGTACTTGTACATCCTATGTACAAAATCTCAACCAGTGAGGTTACCGTATTTCCCAGTAAGTTAGTACGTACTAACTTTCGAACTTAGCAGCCACATGAGTACTTATTTTCGGGGGTGGTACTATCTTTCGGGGAGTAATTTTTTATCGGGGGTAAATGACACGCAGTGGGAAGCCTGCGCAACTCTAGTGTCCGTGCATATGATGTATGCACTGTACGGTGTCTGTACATGTAGGACGGGTACGAGCTTACTATCTTTCGGGGTGATAACCTCGGCAGTGGAAAGTGTATTTTTTATAGGGGGTACTAAGTCATTGGGGAGAACTAACTTACGGGGAAATACGGTATGTGGGTGCGAGGCTACAGAATTGGAGAAAAGTGTGCATGACAAGGGCTGCAAGAGGGGGGGGGGGGGGATGATAGAGCTGGGTAATACTGGCAGGGGAGGGAGTGATAGAGCTGGGTAACCATGGTAACTGTGGACATTATTTAATTGTGCTCATTGGCCTATCCGCATGGGCATGCTCAGATTCCAGTGCATGGAAGAGCATGATCGAGGTTTCCGCTGTCGATTATGTCCCATGCCACCTGACCAAAACCACCGGCAGACGAAGCGACGTTACAGGGAATGAATGAGAGTTGGCTACAGTCAATGCATTGCTCGATTCCATCACCAATTGAGGGCAGCTGTGTGACCGTGTTGAGATATTTAGCCTGTTTGAATTCTTTATTCTCACGATGTCACCATCGCCAATAAGAGATAGTTGAACCCATGGCTGCATACTAATGGGTTAGGATATCACTGATGTCCAAAGTTTTGCAATCTAAAAAATGATCGTCCACAATTATCGGGTTAAGGGTTTACCAGGGCATCAGCAATATTGTCAAAATCTTTTCAAAATGTACCAAAAATGAAATTACCGAAATCCGGTGTTAGCAGTTTTGATGTCAATAACTTATTATGGAATGGTGGTGGAGGATATAGCACTTAGTACGTGTAGATCTTGACTGTAACGTTAGCTGTGACTTCCAGCCAGTCTGTTGGAATTGTTATAATTATGCAGATGAGTGACAAGCAACTCTGCTGGTAACATGTTTGTGTCTGTATACTTTTAAAGAATGCATACAGTTACAGTACAGCATTGCACAGTACACAGTGCACAGTGCACAGTGCACAGTACACAGTGCACAGTACACAGTACACAGTGCACAGTGCACAGTACACAGTACACAGTGCACAGTGCACAGTGCACAGTGCACAGTACACAGTACACAGTACAGCATTGCACTAAGCTGCTATACATGTACATGTCGGCAAATGTTCACATTTCGTCTTCATCTGTTCCACGCGGCCGCGTATCTTTCGTTTTTCTGGCCATTCCGCGAGGTCATTGTCGTGGCGAGAGTTTCCACAAAGTTCCCACCGGTGTTCTCAAACCAACAGTCTTCTTCATCATCAAAATGAGGTGCCGGACAGGAGAGATTCCCCATGTCCGCCCTGGACTTGTCCAAAGAGCAGACATCGATGCGCATCGGGTATGACAGTTCTCTAGAGTCGGCATGTGGCTCAGTCACTTCGTGAGACTGCGATGCTAGCCACATCCGTTTTGTTGTGCCCTCTCGGAGGCCCAGGGGGAATCGATTTGCTACAGGTTGCCGCATATCTAACTGACCACTCCAGGAGATCGATGAAGCTGGAGTTGCAGACAAACTCCGTGCATGTTTGCGCATGAACAGTGGCTTTCGCCAGCCGCTGCTGTCTCTAACTCGACTCAATGCACTGCCGTCAGGCTGCGTGAGTGACTGGTCTACGGGTAGAAACACTGTTGCTGGCATTCCTAGCGACCTACCCTTGTCGGACTGAACACGGCGGTGGCGATACTGTCGCAAGGTTCCGGCAGCTGGCTTTCTGCTAGCGGCACTACTCCATGCAGCAGCTAGTGTCTCTACGGGCATAGCAGCCGGTTTCTTTGCCACCGCTCTGCTGTGTGCAGCTCCTGCAGGCGCTGCTCTAAGTCCAGTGTGGGAGACGCTCAATGACCTTGTGTTTACGGCCGGCAGTGTTCTTGCGGTTGGTACTGCGGCGAGGTTTCCCTCTGACCTGGACGAGGGCATGTGAGAGCCATGCTTTCGGCTGGAGTTGTGCATCAGCGTGGGCGGTGTGGGGTGCCTGTCCTCCTGTTCTGCCATCTGCTGCTGCCTGAGTAACTCTTCCTGCTTCACGCGCTCCTGTTCCTGTAGATACTCTGAATACCGGAACGCGGCAGGCTTAGCATCCTCTTTCGCCTTCTGATCATCATCCAGGATGATGATCCTGTGGCTCTTGGCCTCGGCCTGCCTTTCCTTATCACGCTCTTCCTGCATGTGCTGTGCGGCCAACTTCCTGGCTTCTTCCTGGCGATGCGTCTTCTCACGCTGCATCTCGGAAAACGGCAGCGGGCTATCCGGGTTTTCTTTATAGTGATTCGATCGCCAAGTCGTAAACGCAATCCATTCCGGAAATAGAACGTCAAATACCTCAAGCTGCATTTAATCACACCAAGAACACCAGCACCGACAGGAATCCATGAGATAAAATATTTAGACAAGAGTAGGAAGATATCGTAATTGATTATCACCAAAGCCGCTACCACCATTTCATAAGAAAGCTGCGGGGATACAAAACGGCAAGGTCAAGTGCCAGTTGCATTGATTTCCAGCTCACCTGCACAGATTGGAACATGTATGGCCCAATCCACCGCTCAGAGGCTGCTCGGGTGGTCAGACACTCGGCAGCCTCTTCGCTGACGGAAACGGCTACTGTCGGCGGAAAGCAGGAGTTCAGGAAGCAGTTGACAATGGCGTGCGCCTTGGAGCACATCAGTGCCTTGGATGCGTGATGATGGCACAGCAGCTGTGCACATGAAACCAACAGCAGTACATTTGCAAGCAAGCAAGCACACACACACACACACACACCATTGGACCACTGGACGCCCATCGCCGGAGGCGATGATAGCGATGCTACAGCAGAAGCCATAGCAACTTGTGCTGGGATTGCACCATTCAACAGCTTGCAAGGCTGAAGAATTGGCCGCCACTATTCAGCCTGGTCTACACCACACAGCAATGAAGTGGCTTTTTCTGGCCAGTGAATCCCTCACACACACACGGAATCAAATTCGTTCCTGCACTTGTACATGTTATACATGCATCAGATTCACTTCAGCCGTATATCAGACAAAATAGATACACCAGAAAGGCGTAGGATGGACTTCATTCTCGTATATGCTTACCAAGGAGTAGTAAAGTAGGTATTTTACTACTCCCTGATGCCTACAGTATCCTCCCCAGTGCATGTACCGTATTTTTCCGGTTGTAAGTCGACCTTTTACGACTAAAAATAGAAGGAGAAAGGGTGGGGGTCGACTTACAACCGGGATTCGACTTATAACCGGGAACTATCAGAATCTTACAAAAAATGACCTGCCCTGCATGTATGAGTGTACCATGTGTACACATGCTTGCCAGTTTATTGGCCTTTTTCAAGGATTGGGACGTTATACCCTCCAATAAGGAATGTTTACATGATTTGTTGATGTGTTAATAGCAGGGAGTGGTTGGTAGTCCTTCGTTGGGTGAAAACTTTAAAACGCAGAATCGAGACCTCCGGATACGGGGGTCGACCTATAACCGGGGTCGACTTACAGCCGGTAAAATACGGTAGCGGCTAACCCATGTCCATGCTATAGAATACACTCACTCACTGCACACAATACTACATGTCAATGCTATAGAATACACTCACTCACTCACTGCACACAATACTACATGCCCATGCTATAGAATACACTCACTCACTGCACACAATACATGGACGTGCAATGTGCCCGGCATGGACATTTCCTTACTTTGAATCGTTGCACTTCGATCCAGAAGACCAAGTTCTTCTCCATCTTGCCGCCGCGGATCTGCAGAAACTCCAGAAACTCTTGGGCCCGCCGCCGGTCCTTGAGTGACTTGCGAAACAGCGCCACGTCACGCATGTGCTGTGCCTGCTTCTGATTTACAGTCTGCAGATGAACACATGCACAGAGGGTTGTAGCTCCCACATCTATGGTGCGGTGACCGCGTATCAGAGCACATCCTGTGGTGTGGTGACCATGATTGTATCAGAGCAGCACATCTATGGTGTGGTGACCATGTACCAGAGTACATCTGTGGTGTGGTGACCATGTACCAGAGTACATCTGTGGTGTGGTGACCATGTAGATCTGCCACCGGCAACCTCATAGCCATCATGTTGACTATGTTGACTTTGTGCTACCTACGGCGGTTATTTGCTGGTGACGTGGTGACCCGACTACGCTGACTGTGCACGAACTATGCGCCTGTGCACATGTATGTTGCATGCTCAGGTACAGTACATGTTAGCTGCATGCTCATACTCCTTGCTTCAAGCACAGTAATGCATCCTAACTTGAACTCTTTCCATGCTGTGTAGCCAAGCAGCAAAGCATCTGGCCCAATTGTCGCCTGGTCAAACTGAGAACATTACACAGCGCCGTGTTTGCCGGCTCGCACTGAATGCCAGTGATGTTACGGACTCCGTGCACCTTCAAGGGTACGTGGACGTGTCCCGGGCCAGAGCCGAGATACACAGCCCAACTCGCTATCCCAGGAATCCCCATACGATCCGGCCCATGCCTGACCAGCGCTGTGTACTTGTGTGCGCACTGCGTAAACACAATGTAGGCCATTCAGTGTGTATTTGTGCAAAGTGTGTTAACAGATCCATGCAGCTGAAAGCAAGTATGATTTGTAGCACCATCATATTCTGCATCATTCACATCATCACATACAGTATGCACATTAATTCCTGCCGTACCTCTTTCTGTTGGTTGTCCTTTTGCTTCTCCTCCTTCTGCCCCTTTCTGCCAGGCTTGCCTTGCTTTTTGTAGTCCATGGCACCTGGGTACTGATGTGTTATGCGCTTGTAGGCCTCTGTGTTTGTAAACCTTGGTATCCAGTAATGTTGCAATCGCTGGAGTACAATCGATTCGACGTAGTACAGGACATCTTTACTCGGACGTGGGCCGACTAGATTCCGGCGTTTATAATCCGCAACGGCCGCGAGCTGGGCAGGGGGACAGAGGAGAACAGTTTGCCGCTTGGTTCCAAATGCATTGCTATCGTAATATGGGGTGTGTGTGTGTATCTGTGTGTATGTGTGTGTGTGTGTGTGTGTGTGTGTGTGTGTGTGTGTGTGTGTGTGTGTGTGTTTGTGTGTGTGTGTGCGTGTGCGTGCGTGTGTGTGCATGATCATGCTCCAACCAACACAGCCGTGTGAATTGCAGAAGTCCTGGATGATTGAGCCATTGAAATATTCTACTCTTCGTCCACATACCCCAAAAGCACATTTCCCACATAGAAAGTGGAGTCCTCCGGTCATTTCCCACAGAAGTTATTACTGACATAAAAAGGTACTACACCGTAGATGACTTCCATTGCTCAAACAGTGCTCAAACAGTGCTCTATACAGAGCTTGCCAGCACAGAAGCCAGATTGGTTTGTTGCAAATGCGAGTTTCACGCTAAGTGATCATCAGGAAACATAAGCTTGCCAGACAATCGCTCAGAAGACTAGTTTTTGACTTTGTATTGAGCTACGGCTAAGGTCCTTTAAACACTACAAATCTAAACAATTGCAAAGGCTGACCACTGAATTCCCAGCGCTTGTTAGTAGTTAGCACTGTAAACGCCGGCATTACCTGTTCTAGTTGTTGCTTGGTTGCCGGGCTCTTCTTCAGATCGTAGAAATAGTCTTGTGTCAAATAATTGTTACGGATCAACTTTGCATAGTGTGCCTTCTTCCTCTCGTCCTGCGTGTGGCGGTAGCTTTGAAGACTTGACCAGCACATGAAATCGTAACTACCTAGAGGCCGTTCATTCAGGAATGCCTGGAACTTGGAGAAGATCTGTCGGTGGCGAATGATCTGAGAGAGCAGTCAGCGGGAAAGAGAAAGAGAGAGAGAGAGAGAGCCGGAGAGAGAGAGAGAGAGAGAGAGAAAAGAGGGGAGGACAAGGGGGGGGGGGGAGCACGGCGCAGGGGCAGGCGAGTGATTGGTTACAAGGTTCCTCTTTTGTATTATTGAAAGGCCACATGATATTGCTCACCACTTTATAGAGATTAGTGATGGGTTGAAAGTTTAAAAAGCTTCAAAAAGAAACAGAAGAATCAATACACGATGAACTTGTCCTTACATCTTCGAATGTCATCTCCGTGCAAACTGGCTCTGATGCTTGCGCATTTGTCTAGCAATCACAGAACAGAAAAGGAGAATGAGCTTGTTTCACGAGGCCTATCCCTCCCATGTCTGTGTGAGTATACGTGAATTCAAGGAGAAAATCTACAAATGTACGTTCTGGGCAGCCATGCAACAGTTGCAACTAAAGTCCTTGACCTGGACCTCTCACCTTCGTGCTCCCCTTGCCATCCAGTGGATCACCATCCTTGGCGCCTGAACTACTCGAAGGATGGCTGTCGGCAAATGTGATTGATTTCTCGTGTCCAACACTCTGCAGCATGTCAACATAAAGGCGCGGGCGATGGCACACACACGACAATAGAGACCAGTTATTATTGGACTAGTGTTGCCCGGCAGTGCACCAAGGCCCTGTCTCTTGCTTGTCAACAGATGGCAATACATCATCAAGCTACTACATATAACATGTGTGACACCCGTATACCCAGCACCCGTATACCCAGCACCCGTATACCCAGCACCCGTATACCCAGCACCCGTATACCCAGCACCCTTATACCCAGCACCCGTATACCCAGCACCCGTATACCCAGCACCCGTATACCCAGCACCCGCAGCACCCGTATACCCAGCACCCGTATACCCGTATACCCAGCACGTGATCATACAGTTTGCTGTTTGAGCATTTTTTTAAACTACATTCACATTCACGGAGCTCTAAGCTGTCACTCACTCGAGCCTGGCAAAGCAATTGACAAACCCCGCTACTATTCCCCTAACTGGTTGCTCACTGTGTGAGTGTGGCATGCAGATGCTTGTGCATAATTATGTATTTTATCCAACAACACTCGGGTATTTTATGATGACAAGCCTCACCGCTCTCAGTGCAGTCTCATCTTTCTGCAGCAGGGCAGCATAACACTCCTCCAGCCACACTAGCAGCTCCTCTTCCACTTCGTCGAACAGCATCTCCAGCGGCATGCTCATCTCGGAGCAGAACAATCTGACGACTTGGTCGCTAAAGGGGATGTGGTGAGGCGCATTCGGAAGTATGTACTTGGACGCTATGAGCTGCAGGGACCAGCCGTACAACACACAGTACGCAGAGTCGTCCAATTGTCAACCGATGATATATGCCACAAGTATACAAGCACATTAACCAGAGAACGTGTCCAGTGCTCGTCCTTGCAACGCACACAACCCTATAGCATACACACAACCCTATAGCATGCACACAACCGTATAGCATGCACACAACCCTATAGCATGCACACAACCCTATAGCATGCACACAACCCTATAGCATGCACACAACCCTATAGCATGCACAAAACCCTATAGCACACACACATCCCTATAGCATGCACACAACCCTATAGCATGCACACGTCCCTATAGCATGCACACAACCCTATAGCATGCACGCAACCCTATAGCATGCCCACAACCCTATAAAATGCACACAACCCTATAACATGCACACAACCCTATAACCTGCACACAACCCTATAGCATGCACACGTCCCTATAGCATGCACACAACCCTATAGCATGCACACAACCCTATACGCATGCACACAACCCTATACGCATGCACACAACCCTATAACATGCACACAACCCTATAGCATGCACACAACCCTATAGCATGCACACAACCCTATAGCATGCACACAACCCTATAGCATGCACACAATCCTATAGAATGCACACAACCCTATAGCACACACACACAGCCCTATAGCATGCACACGACCCTATAGCATGCACACCGCCCTGGCATTCACAGTGCAGATCTGGATCCACAACTACATGTACATGTACTTGACAAGCAAAGCTAAGAAAGTACGATTTCATGGACCCCGACACATGTACTTTGAAGTATTGACATACAGCATGATGCAGGTTTGCATGCCCATGTATGTTCGGTTAGGGAATCTGGACTCCAAAGAAGACTGTGCATACGCACTATATCCACTGTCTCCACAGTACAAAGTTGTCAACAAAAGTCTACCACCTACCTGTGCCTGTGCCTTTGCTTCAGTGGCTTTGAAGTGGGCGCGTTCGAATGTGCTGTTGAACGCTTGGATGTCACGCCATAACCACACAAGGCTAGTCGCCGACTACAGCATCAAAAAACCACACCGTGACCAGCGCGCACCTTAGTTACAATGGGTCATTCACCAATCAGTTTTGGTGCAACACACCTGGTTTGGGGGTACACACATCTGCAATTATTGTCTGCCGCAACGTGGTAGATTACACCATGGATGTAATCCAACTGCAAGAGGTGATCTGCTCCGCTCCTGCCCCGGCATGCTGGTAGTAAAGTTCGGAGGCAATCGTGATGTGTTTGTGTGTGGGGGGGGGGGGGGAGATGGGGAGGAGGGGGGGGGGGGGTGCATGCATACTCATATCAGTCGTGTGTGTGTGTGTGTGTGTGTGTGTGTATGTGTGTGTGTGCGTGCGTGTGTGTAAGTGTAAGCGTATGCCTATCTGGCTCTAGAGAGACAGTAACATCCTGAAGCAAATAGACAGCGGGATGCAGAGAAGCTCACACTTAAGAACATGCAAGTACATGCATACACATCGCAATGCGCACGTGTGTAAACGCGAATCACACATGATCTAGTTACCGGCTGATCATCACCATCTTCTGTTGCACTCTCAAGTCTGGGAATGAGGTACTCATCTGTCAGGTTCAAATCACTTTCCAGGGCAGATAACAGCTTTGCACGCACAGTCCCCCCCACCAGTCCCCGTACTGCTGACACATCCACTTCACGGTGTTCGGTTGAAGCCATGACAGAAGAGGCGCCATAGCTCTGATCTGCTGACGATGCTGCACTGGATGTGGACCCTGTCCACTCCCTTTCCTCCCAATTTCCAGCTGATGGCCTTGCACCATTGCTTTCAGTCTGATCACAAGGGGGAAGCCAGGGAGGAAAACATGAAAATGCACTTAGAAAACAAAGTGAAACAGTTTTTTAAATGAAGAAGGCTCGCTGATCTTCCCATCATAATGACATGGTTTTACGCAGATGAAATGTTGGCAAAAACCGCTGCCAACCTCCTCTAACTCTTTCGTTCTCTCATCACCAAGCCCAGCAAGCCCAACATTGTAGACCGTGACATTGGCTGCAAAGAGTAGCAGCATGCAGCTGATCAGGAGGGCTATGCACCACTGGAAAATTGGAAGCGCGAGCGGTGTATAATGCAGCTCTATTTAGAACAGCCAGCCTCAGAGGCAGGATCAATTCACTGGCTTGTGTGCATAGTACAAGGTCCAACACAACACATGCACGCACACCAAGAGTACATGAAAACCAGAGTGTGCAGCTTGGGGCCTTTTCTGCTATGGGTGTCTGTCACGGCGAAATTCCGTGATTACATCATATTTGGCCCAGATCTGAGGCGGGAAATGGCGTAGTGCGTACAACTGAGCTGCAGTTGTGCAGAAAGAGACCTGCTTGAATCCTGCTTGTAGGCACTACATCACTAAAATGATGTAATCACGGAATTCCGCCGTGACAGCCACCCATCCGAGCTGCACACTCTGGTTTTCATGTACTCTTGACGCACACGCAGGAGTCGTACGCTATGAACAAGCAATAACCCCATCCTCTTTACTTATTTCTGTGCACCTTGAGCTCACAGCAGCAACGGTTCCTTACCCGGGATGCCCCCGGTCTGGAGGAGGAGAACGAGCTGATTGTCCTAGCGCCACTGTAGTCTTCAAACCGGTACTGAGTTTCCGTGAATGGCGAGGCTGTCTCGGAACGCAGCAGGCTGTCTCCTCTGTTTAAGCTGAGTTTCACCGTCGGCAGTGCTGCATTCTCGCAGCTCACCATCTCCCGGTATAAATGAAGAAGATAGCGTGGAATCCTAGCCAGATCATCGCACATAGAAAACGCACGCAATATATAAATTATTTATTAGCTTGAGGCAATGAAAAGGGAATTGAGCAGAGTTGCCATGGTTACATGAATGCACACATATTGCAAAAGAAGGATCCACGAGCAGAATTCGAAACCCAACGCCCATGTCTTTCCGGGACATTGCCCTACCAATTAGGCTACTGGAATCACACGTACCCGTGGCTTCTTCTTGCAACACAAGTGCCCAGTTGCCATGGTTTCATTGGCTTGCCAGAGATCAGCACAGTGAGTGAGTATACTGAGCACAGTACACCCTGTACAGCAAACAGCACCTACCAGTAGCTGTAGAGGTTACACGCCATGACCTCTTGCAGGAATCTGATCACACTGCTGAGGTCGGCGCGCGTGCCGCAGCTGCGCAGTAGCTCAGTGGCATGCAGTGGCAATGTCAACACGGTGCGCACAGCGTCCGTCCGAATGCAGCACATTTTCAGGTCGTCCAGCATCCTGCAGCACCGGCCAAGCATTAGCAAAGACTCAGTCTCAGTGTTTAGAATTTTAGATAAGGGTGATTGCTAGCAAGTAAGAAAGGCAAGCACCAAGTGACACATATCCTTATTTAAACATATACCCATGCATACTATGGTATGGTATACAGCAACAGCATGTTCAAACACTGTAGAGAGTACAGTGTACCAGGCTGGCAGCCACTTCAGTAGAATGAATGAGCCCCTAAGCACTCAGCCCTGCATCATTCATGTACTCACCTGCCTCGGTGCTGCTCGTCATCAACTGCAAAAGCTCTCTGAGCCTTGATCCAAAACTCCCAGCACACAAATCCGTTGGTGTCCTTCAGGAAGTCCGCAAACGCCTTCATGCTACGGACGTTGTCCAGCTGAGCACGGCTAAAGGCATATCTGCTTCTTTGAGCCAAGTCAGGGTCGACGCGGCCGGGGTCCATTTCACTAGCTTGAAATGCGGACAGCAGGTCTTTGCGCAGACGAGGGTCGGATAGGTCACGGCTAGTGAATGCAGTCTCCTGGTCCAACGGCGTTGCTGTCTTCCTGGCCTGCATGGAAAACCCAGCCCCAAATAATAGGTTTTACTCCCAGGCGTTGCCAAAGGCGGCTGACGTTGCGCAGTGACATAGTACGTCTGGCAAAGCCATGGTCCAGCAACCTTTAGCGTATGTGTGCGGGCGGGGTGGTGTTCGCCTACACCACGTGACCAAATGAACATTGGCGAGCAACTGACATGTACTTGTCCTGTACCATCATACCATAAATCCTATAAACGTTATTTGAGATGCTTTGGCGAAGCCATGGCTCAGTGATTGAATTCACTAGCTCAAGCGAAACCGCCAACCCACGCTGCATACTTCAGTACGTGGTGCCCATATAGACATAGCGTGTATTGGTTAAAATGGCTCAAGTGATTATGATCATAGCTATGCCAATATGTGTACTAGCCATAGTATGCCGGAGTACATGCACAATCTACCGTGAATGCTCACCTTAGCTGGTAGTGCTCTCTGTGCTGTATTGCTGATCTGTGGCGTCTTGCTCGCTGTCAGAATCTTGCAGAGCAGGTACTGGATGAACTCGGTGCTCTTCTGGAAGCCGGGTAGGCGGTTCTGCCGCACATACTCCATTCCTTCAACCACCTGCAAACTCTGCACATAGATGTGGTAAAGAGGGGAGGGGGGGGGGGGGGTAGCTTTAAGACACTGTGATAACTAGATAATTAAAAAAACTTTCCGGTTGTGCAAGATCCAGACCACTATTAGTTTGCATCGATCAGTGGCAGCCTTTGGCAGCCTTTGGCAGCCAGTGGCAGCCAGTGGCAGCCAGTGGCAGCCAGTGGCAGCCAGTGGCAGCACGAGTTTTATGCAAGCTTTACGATGGTTTGGTTTTACAAAGTAAGTGAGATTTCTATGAGTTGTGTCTACCGAATCAACAGTGTGAACCGTTGTTTGAAATACAATGTACCATCTTCTTCCAGTGAGAAATCATCTTCGAACTATGTTGCTATGGTAATGTCAAATATTTTAATTGCAAAGTTCAAACCCTCCTGGATCTTGAGGTGCTGGCTAGATCACAAGTTCACAACACTTCCCCCAGATTCTGGTAACCAGTAGCTCTTTGTATTACCAATATTTGGTTTGCAAGACACACAAGGGGACACATCAACGCCTAACAGCTGCAATAGCACTCACCCCAAGGAACGTTTCCTCGGTGACAAAGTCTGCTGGTGGCTGCGGTACCTCTGTGTCCACATCCTCTGCGTAACCCTGTCTCGACAAGGATCGTCGAGTTTTTCTGACGTCCACAAGACCCGACACGGCTACTGGCTTCACCTGCTGTTTGCGTGTCTTGGTCCACCTGGCACTAGATGCTGCCCTGGGGCCAACACCTTCATCTCCAGACTTGTCAGGGCCATCAGCCCGACGTAGACCTGGCTTCGATGCGGGCCTTTGGAACTTCGCATCGAATGCAGTGCCCCTTGCCGTCGACAGGAGTTCTTCAAATGCATTTGTCCTTGCGTTGAAAAACAAGTGCACGCCAGTGGCCTGAAGTAGAAGTGAAAGGCAAAGCATATCAATAAAGCATCATAACAAATTGGCAGTGGTGATATGATCTACAGCTATTACTCATCATTGCTTGGAAACACACAACACCGTGACATACAACGCGCACACCAAGTAAACAAAACACACCAGAATATGCCGGGTCATACCGTGACAAGCATGTCACAGTGTACAATTCAGTACAGACATTGACTCGAATAACACAGGGCAGGATGGGCGGCCTCACTGCACTATCCAGCCACTCGTAGTACTCACAGGGTTTGCAAGGTATGCATTCAAGTAGTCAACAAACGTGGTGTCTCGAAGGAGCTGTACCTGGAGTACAGGGATAGAGAATGAGGAAAACAAGACAACAGCAGCACAAACAAATCAGTTTCACGCTCTTTTCCGTCGAAAGTGACGCCCATCATACGACTTTGGTTACTCCAGGCTGTGACAGCCAAATATTACAAATAGGTATGCATCATGCGAAACCTCTTTTTAATACATGTACTATGCCATCATAGCTAATGTTACCATGGTGATGGTCACATGACTATGTTCATGAACATGCATAGTAGCAAGATGATATTGCAGTGCTAGTGGATGTGCATGCACCACTAGGGGTACATGAAGGGAAATAACACTATACAGTACAGACCCTCCAACAGCGGCAGGCAGTACATGCACTTACAAACGCATCACTGTCCTCCAAAGCCGAGTCCAGATCTGCACAGCCACAACACAATTACACCACCATTGATTGCTTTAGTTGTAGTGGAAACAAAGTCTGACCTAGCCTAGCTTATGCACGCATCACCGCACATGAACTTGGTGTGTATTCACAGCTATGCTCCTGTGCACTGCTGTAATAGCATCACTGACGGCTCTAAAATTGGACCAAACAGATTGCGAACTTACAATATTATTTCTGTGTCTGTGTCCTTTGCTTCCCTCAAATTAATGAATAGGACTTGTACAGTAAAATTCGCTTATAACGACACTCGGCGGCACTCGGCGACACTCGGCGGCACTCGGCGGCACTCGGCGACACTCGGCGACACTCGGCGGCACTCGGCGACACTCGGCGACACTCGGCGGCACTCGGCGGCACTCGGCGGCACTCGGCGACACTCGGCGGCACTCGGCGGCACTCGGCGGCACTCGGCGGCACTCGGCGGCACTCGGCGGCACTCGGCGGCACTCGGCGGCACTCGGCGACACTCGGCGGCACTCGGCGGCACTCGGCGGCACTCGGCGACACTCGGCGGCACTCGGCGACACTCGGCATCAAAAAAGTGTCCTTATTCACGAAGTGTCATTATACCCAAAGTCTCATTATTATGTATTACAGTTGGATGGGACTTTGCTCTGGGCATGGAAATTCTGTCGTTATTCGAGAATTGTCGTTATATCCGCAGTCCTTAATGGCGAAGTTGACTGTACACATTTTTAAGTCCACTGCCTTACCGTAGGCTTGCAGTCAATTCTAGTAGAAAACAGCTGTTTGATGCAGGAGCAACACAACGCCGTAGTGGATTCCTGGTGCTCCACGATGAGAAATACTTGCAGTGTGATATCTTGTGTCAGGACTTGTCACAAACATGTCCTTTGTTTATCACCCTGAGGTTAATCCCTACTGGCCATTGCAAAGTTTGCCAATGCCCCAACACTCTTGTCGAGCCAAGGATGATACCAGCAACATTCGTTGACAATCCCAAATAAATGCTCACTGGTTTGAGGAAAAATGCAAACGGGAAAAGTCTGAAGGAAAATTGACTGTGTGACGACCAGGACTCGGACCAAGCACCTTCGCTTGAGGCCAGCGATGCTCTAACCACAATCCCATATAACGGAACCATTTCCATTGGTGAAGCGTTTCCGACATGCCTTGTCAATTTCAAAAATGGTAGGGAGGTGTGTATGCCACAAAAAAATATCCGGATAGACGAGAGAACCGGATAAGGCGAACACACATACTGTATGTATGCATGACATATGCTGTGAATCGTTAACCAACTATTTTCTTCTGGATGGCGAGGGATCCGGATAAAAATTGAAAGAGAACCGGATAAGCGAGGTCTAACTGTATGATCAGCCCGTGGTCACCGGGAGAGTGAAACCCGCCATTTCCAGTAACGCAGAGCTGTGGTCGCCATCGTTCTGATATTTCTTTGAGGTCAGATCACATTGGACGCAAGTGCAGTCCGTATACATGTACTTAGCCTGAACTAGAGCACGCACACTCACACGGTCTCTGGACTTGCTTACCTAGCTCTGATGCGGACTTCATATCAGTGCAGGGTTAGTAGGTAGAAAGTAGTTGAGTTGTTACTCAGACTCAAAGTCTGAGTCTGCATTCACTGACTTCGTGAGACCAGCTGCCAGGCTGTATATACCGTGCCCTCTGCTATCTGTAAAGCGATAGCGACCCAAGTCACTGTGGCTAACGACGCATCACTTCATTGCTGTGACCACTGAGTTGAGTTGGATGGGCTGGGGTTAAAATAAATTATGTTCGGTAGTCAGTGAGGGCAATAACCCAGACACCAAATCATCACATTCATCAGCGCTCACATGTCACTCGTACGATCGTCAGTCAACTCCCAATCAGGGCCATGTCCGCTGTAGGCCCGTTCTTTCCGTCTTCAATTGAAATCAATGAAGCGTTGCTTTGCAGAAGCCAGATAAGGCGACTAGACGTATCGATACTACGTCGTTGAAGGCATCTAAACTACACCGTCACAATGACTTTATAATAATACTAATACTTCTGCTCGTGAATCACGGTCCAGCTCGACGTGGGATGGTACGATCCGCTTCACACTACCGGTATACCGCAGAGCACTGTGTGCTGCAGCGAAGATCTCTCTCTCACGAGTCTCAGCTCTCTTGATCAGCACCAACTCCAAACCAGTCCACACTCTCGTTGCAGGTTCACTCACCACAGATAGTCAGTCCACAGCCGGCCAGAGAGAGAGAGAGAGAGAGAGAGAGAGACTGTGGTTCCGAACGATCAACACTTCATCAGTAACGGTTCATGCAATGCGTGGGTCACATAGGTACCGGTTCTAGCGGCAGCAAGAAGTAATAATTAGTTTGTCTAAAAATGTACTGTACTCTGTAGCCTGACTCGCAGCTCGGTCGGTGACGATTCGCCTGACAAAACAACACCCCCTGGATCGCTAGGGTACTAACACTAACACTAACAGCTGCTCTTCTTCACCCTGTAGGCGGTAGCTCTCTGCAACTCATGACTCTCCACTCAGACTCCAGTCCCCAAGACGGATATGATGGGTACTTGGTGATAGTGACGCGTCTAGCTCGATGTCGCTTAGGTCAGTTGGGACTAACACCAGTACATGTAACAGTAACACCAGTCACCAACACTTGCAACAACCACCGCTCAGTGCTCAGTGCTCACACTGCACTGGCAAGCTGATGACTGTTATCAGGGTTATGTGTCTTGTTTACACACAACTAACTACTTCACAAGTACATGTACATGACTTGTACATGTGCAGTGAGCTGAGCTCATTATCATGAGCTACTTCGGCATTTTTTGTTTATTTCGCACCTACACTTGACATAGTCTCATGCAAAATAATGTATTTTTGTCTCTCTGTAAGTGTAGTAACGCCCACATGGCCATGCACCTGGCTGTACTGACTGTTATCCTGCGCAGACTTCAGCACAGACAGTATACTAGTAGTACGGCAGTGATATTCACGTTCTGAATGCTACGAACTACTTGTGTCAGTGGCAACACACAACAACCTCACACTCACACTGGCTGCCAAGCTCTTCATTGTGGTCATGGTCTCGACGCAACATCATCTTCAGACTTCACTCAGCTCAGCGCTGCGCTGGCTGCCAAACGGTGAAACCCATTACATGTTCATGAAGCAGCAGCCCGAGCAAAAAATGACTTGTACTACCCTTGCCTTGTTCAGTTGTTGTGGCCCAGTCAATCTACTGTATGCATCTGTCTGTACCGGATTCGGAGTGTCTTGTCGACGCGTTTCTCCTTCTCTGAATCCCTGGTGACCTGGTGACCGGTCAACCTTGGCCGTGATCGTTTGGTCGGATCCAGATCCAGATCCATCGGATCCACTGGATCTGCAATGATCGATTGGTCGAATCCGGATCCAGATCCTTCGGATTTGGATCCGAGCAACCCTGCCCCGGGAGCAGGGTTGACTGGATCCATCGGATCCAAATGTGACCTTTGTGCGTATATGGTGGGTAAAAATCATTTTTCTACTCATTGTCGTACGTCTAGTGGACTTTTGTTGACTTTTCGTACGACGCGGGCGATCAGTACGACTTTTTGCCTTTTTTGGGTGACCTGTCAGGGCCATTTTTTACTTCGTCAACATGGCAACAGCCAAGGTCCGCAAAAAAGTGTTCGGTTGACTCTGAAGGATCCGACGGATCTGAGATTTGGATCTGGATCTGGATCCGACCAAACGATCATAGCCCTTGACAACACAATGATTTACATGTAGGCGGGAGTTGCTAGTGAGTACGCTCGTAGTGTAGTGACCTGGTACGGTGGTGGTGTCATGCGCTAGCGCATAAAAGTAGCTCGCACGTGGCCACTATTCACTAACTGCACGCGCACTAGCACTCGACACTGCGCTGAAGTCTGGTGGAATCCGGATCATGCCAGCATGGCAGGCTTTGCCAGCCACAGCGATTATGATGATCATGTCTCGTCGTCACGTGTTGAGCACGACACGTGCGAAATGAATGTGTACATCGTGTTGCTTTTGTGGATTTCCAAAACTGTTTTGCATGCTTTGACCAAAATAATGGAAAAAGGCAAAAGCCTGGGAGTTTTGTTACTACAAGTACGTGAAGAAGAAGTGTGCAGAAGCTGTGTAAGTCAAGCTCACAGGTTTGCAGCCTGGTTTGGGGAAGTTGGTTTGGAAACTCACTCGCGACACTTTCAACGACAACATGTCGAAGGCAGGCCAATTGGGTGAGTCCCTGTCCATTTTGCCATCGATTCCTTCGAGTGGTTCATTCATTTTCGGTTTTATTTTATTTCATTGTTTGCGTTTTCTGGTCACTTTGCCAACAGCTCTGCTGAGCGTGTCCGACAAGACTGGGTTGGTTGAATTTGCCAAGCGCCTTCATGGCATGGGCTTCAAGTTGGTCGCCTCCGGAGGGACAGCTAAAAAGATCCGGGAAGCTGAAATCCCAGTCACGTAAGGAGAATAGCAATGAAAAATATCAATTGTGCGCTCATAACCATGTATAAACAATTAAAGTGAAACAATTCCAGAACGTTTTCGTGTGACCATCATCAGTGGAACATCGTCACATAGTAAGAATCACTAAAACAACCAGTTATATAGCTAGAGTAATATGAAAAGAAGCGTGAGAATGCAGCACAGCTAGCGGTTATGCATAACGCGTGTAGTGTGAACCTTTGCAGTGTATCTGAGAATGGTAGCAGTAGATGAATGTGGCAGCTGTGAGTGCGTGTGAACAAAAACTGGTGAGCAATTTGAAACTCGGATGTTGAGCCATAAATAAATGTGGAAGAGAAAAGGACATATGGATACGAGTTAAGAGTAACTCTCCATCACTGTAACATGATACTATATACAGTCAGAAAGTGCAATAACTAGGCACAAAACTGACAGAGTACTGAAACATTCGACGTCCTGACACCTAGCTTCAACACATCTCCGTAGCGCTAACCGACAGCCTTCCAACTTGGAAGGTTCAAGGTTATGGAAAAGACCAAAGAGGGGAAGGCAAGCGCAACGAAAACGAGCAAAAGCTACAGTCCCAACGGAACAAAGAATGTCGATTGTTACTGGACGATGACGAGACCAGTACGATATTTGACAAAGCGGTCTAACTACAATTCGAAGCAGCAAAGCAGCACACCACCCAACTTGGGTGGGTCATAAATATCAAAGATAAGTAAAGAAAGGGAAGCTTTGCGAAAACGAATTGTACAAGCCGAAAGCCAAACTCCTACAGTACTCCTCATGCATGACTTTTGCTCGTTTTCGTAGCGCTTGCCTTCCCCTCTTTGGTCTTTTCCATAACCTTGAACCTTCCAAGTTGGAAGGCTGTCGGTTAGCGCTACGGAGATGTGTTGAAGCTAGGTGTCAGGACGTCGAATGTTTCAGTACTCTGTCAGTTTTGTGCCTAGTTATTGCACTTTCTGACTGTATATAGTATCATGTTACAGTGATGGAGAGTTACTCTTAACTCGTATCCATATGTCCTTTTCTCTTCCACAAAAACTGGTGAGTGCGTATTATTTAAAAAGTGTGAGTTCTACAACATTTTCTTTTTGCTTGCATAGAACAGGGTCACGTGTGCGAATATATACAGCTTCCAACACCTGCAACTGCTTAAAGAAACGCGCGTGACAAATAACACTAAACCAGGAATCGTCAAACAACTTACGACAATCCGGACTGGACACCAAATGCTTGTAGATGGCAGACTATGTGACGATGTTCCACTGATGATGGTCACACGAAAACGTTCTGGAATTGTTTCATTTTAATTGTTTATACATGGTTATGAGTGCACAATTGATATTTTTCATTGCTATTTTACGACTGTTGTCTCCTCGTCGGTTATTTAAATACGTAAGGAGAAGCTTGTCATTTGTATTTGGTTGCAAGTGTGATCTCCGATGCAACGCGAATTGCCTTCGCCAGTGGAGAATGCCACATGTTTGAACAGAAAGTAGTATCTCTTGTCCAGCATTGTACAATTGATCATGAATTAGATCGTAACCAGTTATAAAAATACAAAATAATAATATTGCAAAAAGGGAAAGGGACACATGGATATGATAATACTATTATTTTTTTGGGTTTTGGCACGACCAGAGCGCAGATAGGTTGCTGCTGCTGCAGCTGTAGTCTGATTATAGGGTTTGTACTCGCACACAATGGCTACGGTTAGGAGTATTAGAATATACACTCATATCTCTCTTATCCGCACCTCGAAGTTACAGGCACCTCGGTCTACCGGGCGCCCTGTGGGTGAGTGTTGGTGGAAATATTGCTACTCACAGGCAGGCATAGTGGGATGGTCTAAGACCATGATTGAGAAACAGCTTGGAAGCGGAAGGAATTTTTCCAGCCGTGCTGCGACCCACAGTTAATTGGGAACTCGTGGCCTGGCACAAGAGTAACATGGATGCAGTTATTGGGATTTCGGTCTTTGACCACTTTGTGGTGGGTCTGATCTACTTACCTCCCACCGTTTAGGCGCTGCATCTGTGCCTTGATCCTAGAGGGTGGTGGCGTTCCTACGGATGCGAAAACTCGGCTTCCAGCCGAGTCTCACGCGAACCGTCAATTTTTTAAATTTATTGCTACTCTTTTGCCATTATCTGTGGAAATAGTGACGTCATATGACAGGCAGGCACAGTGGGTTGGTCAAAGACCATGATTGAGATACGAGAGGTACCTGGTTCAAGTCCTGCCTGGGAGCGGTTTTTCCAGCCGTGCTGCTACCCACAATCAACTGGGAACTTGTGGCCAGGCACAAGGGGTACATGGATGCAGCTAATGGGGTCGTTCTTGGCACTTGTGCCAGTGGTTGTGAGACTTACCCACTCACCCCCACCGTTAGGCGCTGCATCTGCCGCTAGGGTTTACCGGGTGTTAGCGGCCGTCGTGAGTTCCCTTCGGGAACGGACACGATAATTTACTTTACTTACTTATGCCAGATTTCTGGCCCTTCCCTATTGAAAACGTACTTGATTCAGAGTTACAGACATTGCGAAGTAGTAGGCAGTGCCCAGTCCCTGACCACCCGGATAAGAGAGTTATGACAGTGTAGTTACAATGCACTCACAGTAAGCAATAGCCACTGCAAGAGATTTGAAGAGAAGTCGAGAAACAAGTGAGCAAGAAAAGAGAGCGAGTCAGCGAAAAACTCCATGTCCCGTTTCACACGTAGGGAAAAAAGAGGTAGTAATAATTTCATTTCGAAAATGTTGCAGCCAGCAGTGTGAAGCGAGTACATGTATTTAGATGCTCAAAGTCTGGACTCTTTACCAGTTTTCTTCCATTGAACTTGCTTTACGTTTGCGTTTGTTTGTTTGTTTGTTTGTTGGTTCAGTGATGTTGCTGACTTGACCGGGGCACCAGAGATGCTGGGTGGTCGTGTGAAGACACTGCACCCTGCTGTGCATGGAGGTGGGTAGCTTGACTGGTGGCCTAGTTTTTCTGCAGTAGTAAGCCAGCTCTAGTCTAGGGGGTTTGAGCTTGCTCTATGACATCATTGTAGGAGGTGTTCATGTTGAGTGATGTCACAAACGCCAGATGGTCGCTCCATGTGAACCCTATAAGGCTATTATGACAATGTCTTTTGGCTATCACAATCTGTTCAGTGCTTGTTACTGTTGTTAGTAATAAAGGCTGCATTTGACAATGGGTGCCTGATTAACTTTGTTCTTTTGAGTGTTTTCTTTCATCTTATTTTACACACACACACACACACACACACACACACACACACACACACACACACACACACACACACACACACACACACACACACACACTTGTACTTGTACTTGCTCACTGCCAAAACTGGTCACGTGGGTCTCCCCGGGAGAGGGGAGAGAGACTCAAAAGGAATCTTGGAAAGATGACTCAATTGGCCATTGAACCACCCAACGGCCGACACCCCCTGAAATCCCCAAACTAGGGTGGACTTGAAATGATCCCACTTATGGGCTCACCACACCTCAGTAAGTGGGTGAGGACAAGGTGCAGAAAAAGGATTGACGGCATTAGGGTATCCGTCCCGGGATCCAACTGCAGGTACCCCTGCCCCCAGTGAAGGTAATACTTGGTACTAGTGTGGGTGGCTAAATCAGAGTGGATCTGATATAAGCTTCACTAGCACCATTGATTACACAAGAGTTAATCTAGCCAGAAGCAGTCCATGGTTAACAGGTATGTATACTTCAAATAGAAAGTATATGAACCCTGAAACCAACAAAGGTGGTAGGTACAACAAACCACCTTCAAGCAGCCGAGCCCGTTGGCAACAGGCCCAACACTATCTGGCATAAGTGTACCCACCAACCGAACTAGCTGACACACACACACACACACACACACACACACACTACTACTACTACTATGTACAACTGCCACAAAATGGCCACGTCGCTCCCAGAAGCGGGAGACAACAGCGAGAAAAAAAGAAACAAGGAGAATAATTGAGGTGAAAGGGGACCGTTCTACACATAGCTAGTGTTTCTGTCTTCGGTGGCGGGTGAGGTCCTGCGGGCGGGAGAATCGTTCGTTACATAGGCTGCATTGAATGGGCAGATTAGTCCTCTGGTCCTTTCGCAGTCGTTTGCCTCGAGTACAATTATGGCGGTTAAAACCAGCCTGACTCTTCATGCAGCGATCACAGATCGAGCAATGGTGCTGGCAGCAGTCCAAATTCAGGCTGCATCTCGTTGAAACAGCTGGTATTTCGTCCGATGTCTGACGCTCCACACAACGATGAACTGCAAAACCGCCAGCGCTTTGAAACCAGCGGTCACAAACTCCACAGTGACGGGCCCCAGGCTGCTGGGCAACAGGTAAGGACCGTACAGCTGAGCACTTGTGACGGTGAATCCCACGAGCAGTGAATGATCGGTTGCAAACCTTGCAGGTGACTTTGTTGTTGTTACACTCCACGAGATCATCCGGAGTCTTTGCAATTGCCTCGCGCCATGCTGGGCGATCCTGAGCCAAAGTGAGCCAATTCACTATGCCACCGAAACGAAGATCACGTGCGACGAGGTCTTTCCATCGCAGTCGTGGCCCACAGGCTGGGCGTGGATCTGAGAAGAAGCTAAACAGTATCAGCTTCGGAAGCCGGTTATCTGGCATTCTGGCGACATGCCCAAGCCACTGCAGACGGCGGTGTCTGACGGTATCAGATGGCAGTGCCATATCACCCCAGCGTCTTCGCAGCTCCTGGTTGTTGACATGCTGCAGCTGTTGATCGAGCCGGGATACACCCAGAATGAACCTGAGGGAGCGGTGGTGGAAGTTGTTGATGGCAACCATGTCTCTCTTCAGCGGAGTCCAGCACTCACAGGCATAGAGCAATGTGGACAGAACGCAAACATCGTAAAGATGGCGCTTGGTGGCGATGGAAAAGTTTCGGTCAAGAAAGACACGGCGCATAAGGTCGAAAGCTGCCGCTGCCTTACCGAGTCTTCTGGCCACATCTGCAGATGAGCGGGTGTCAGCAGTTATCACAGAACCAAGATACACAAAGGATTTGACACTTTCGATCTCCTCCGGACCAACAAAGAGCGGAAGGCGGTCAGCACATGATAAATTTGCACCAACGGCCATGAACTTGGTCTTCGCTGTACTCAGAGTCAAGCCGAAGGAAGAAGCAACGTTGCTGAACAGCTCCAAAGCCAGTTGAGCTGACTCACGGGATGGTGCAAGTAGTGCTGCATCATCTGCAAACTCCAGGTCGTTGACCGATGTCGTGCCAGTTTGACGGGTTCGCTTGGGAAATAGATTGCCACTTCCATGGATTGAAGATATCAGGGACACACCGTTAACACCAGCTGCTGCTATAGCTGAACGCCATGCTTCCAGCACAAGACCAAAGTACAGGTTAAACAACAGTGGGGCCATAACGCACCCTTGCCGTAAACCATTCTCAACCGAGATGTTCCCAGACACATCACCATCAACCCGAACAGCAGCCTGCATGCCTGAATGGAAGCCGTCAATCAGCTGGATGAGTGACCCAGGCACACCATACACCTCAAGGGCCAGCAACAGTGCAGCGCGCGGTACCGAGTCGTACGCCTTGCGGCACACACACACACACACACACACACACACACACATTGCTTTTGAGGAATATCAGTGTGTTCACTCTGTCGTAGTTGAATGTCTGCACTTTGAAGCTTGCAGCGACATGTGTGTGTGTGTGTGTATGCTCAGGTATTCTGGCGCGTTGTACTGAGTCTGACCAGGCTGACATGACCAAGCAAGGACACGAGTACATCAGGTAAGTACCGGGGTGCACTAGAACTAGAAGCTTCACTATCCTCTCAGACTATACAAATGCACAGGCAGGCAGCTGTCGGAAATACCCGAGGGAGGTGTCTGGTTCAAACGTGGCTTTGTTATGCCATTCATCACCACAGACTTGTGCTATGTTCGCATTGGATGCTCACCGTAGTGTCTTGTATCAAAGCCTGTCTCATAGAAGCCTGTCTTGAATAGAAGCCTGATTTTCAAGATACACTGTCGGCACATAAGCCTGGTTTTAGTGTTGACATCCGTAGAAATACCTGCCTTGTATAGAAGCCTCTCTCATATAGAACCCTGCAAATTTTTCACAAAAAAAGTCATATAAGCCGTGGCCTTTATGCACGACTTTACTGTATTTATTATTATACCGGGATCTTGATTTCAACGTCCATGACATGTTTGCTGCAACTCAATCAGTTGTTTTGTTTGTTTTGTCGGTTTGGTGGTACTCACTGCAGAGTTGTAGCCTGCAACCTGTACCCATTCTCAAGTACCGTAGCCAAGGAGGGTGTCACTGTTCCCGAAGCCGTTGAACAAATAGATATTGGTAAGCACGTGGGTGTGTACGTTTGCTCGCTGAGCACAACCATGGGATGCACCACTTTTGCCAGCTACAGGTCTACCCTGGTTAGTACAACATCGGTTACAAGACAAACCTCATCAGTAGACGACGATCCGAAATCTCCTGACGCCTGAAACGCGTACATGCAAGACTGTATACTAGATAGTAGATAATACTCGTTAAAAGACGAAACATTTGGAACCCCCAGGGTTGTCTACTAGTACTAACGAGGGTAGACCTGTATCTTTGCAGCTTTCCATTGCCTTTTGTCCGGCAGTTGGTCGTTATGTTTGCAGTGACGTAAATCGTACCAACACTGCCAGCAATAGGGAGGTTTCGCTCTACGGAATTACGTTTAAAAATAACGTAGGAACTGCACGGAATTTTCATACGTAAAAATCAGAGCTGTTGGGTTTCGCTCTACGTGATTTCTCCACGACTGCTAAACATGCGTTGTTGCTTTGGAGACGCCTTGGCTGCATGCGCCCACCGCGTGCACCATGAACCGAAACCGGGGGGTTAACCGCGTTTCCCTCTTTATTTTGCACGTGGTGTACGGTGTGTGTACCTTGTGTTTCGCGCGGCTTGAACGTTGCCATGGACAAATGCGGAAAATGCGAAAAATATTTCAAAAAGTCCTACGGAGGACCCAACGTAGGAAAGAGCTTTCCTACGGAAATCCGTAGAGAGATTTACGTATGAAAGTTGCCCTCGCTCCCCGGCACGTACGACATACAGATTTTCATACGTAATTATGTAGAGCGAAACCTCCCTAATGGCGTTTTCAGCTTGAGCCTGAAGTTGAGGGGGCTAGCCAACATTTGAACACCCTTTAGTAGCCTTTGTGGAGTATGTCAAAGACTAGGACCGAAACGATTGCCCATTTTGCCTTAACGATCAACCAATAGCACTAACGATCGATTTATTGGTTTTACCGATTTTTGAACACGTTTATAACTTTATGTATCATGTTGGAAATCAGCATACGGCAAAAACAATCAATTTTGTTCAACTATATACCGGTATGTACAGGGTGAAAGATCCACACAGGCCCAAGAAAGACCAAAATGAGATTTGCAACGTGATGCGAGCAGTGTTCCTCTGCCATTAGGCATCAACGTCAGACATCTGTTCGTCACTGCTGCCAGATTCGGAGTCATCCTCGACAACTTCAGGTAGAGGTAGGTAATACTCATCTCCATCATCATCTTCATCGTCAATGTTGACAACTGGAGGCTGTGAGGACTGAGGCTGCAGGTGAAATCTGGCACTTGGCAGCGTTGCGTTGCAGGCCAAGAAGATTGACACATCAATGTGTGCTGGCGACAGGCCATTCCGCAGCTTCGTTACTAGCAAGCCAGCAGCACTGAAGACTCTCTCAGAAGGGACAGAAGAGCCAGGCACTCCAAGATACCGACGAGCAAGCTGTGCAAGGTTCGGAAACCGGTAGGCATTCGAACGCCACCACTCTAGCGGATCAGCTTCCAAGTCGATCTGTGGCTCCTCTGAGAAGAGATCGATCTCACGGTGGAGCTTGGCGGAGAGATCCACAGGAGCATCCTCCTTATGGCGGGACTGAAGTAGTCGGCTGAGACCACTGGTCGCTGACGTTTTCAATCGCTTCGCTTCTGGCTCTATGCTCTCAACTGTGCCGCTGTTGATAGCCCGCTCTTCGGCCATGTCTTTCACGACGTCCCAAACTGCGGCTGATTTCTCTTTGTCCAGAAACACTAGGCCACGGAATCTCGGGTCGAGCGCAGACGCCACCACGGGAATGGACGTTGGATTAGCCTGGACCACGTCTGGAAACTTGCGTTCCATCTCTGAACACAGTTTGTCGGCAACTTTCTGCGCTGCTGTGCTGATGCTCTTCTCGGGATTGGCCTGAACCTCGGAGTACAGGTGAGTGCAGATGGGCATCATGATGGACAGAGTAGCGTACTTCTGTCCGCTCACCGCCGTTGTTGCCATCTCGAATGGTCCTAGCAGGTCCATCAGCTGCTCTGCAAGATCCCACTCCCTGTCCTTCGGGAGCATGTTGCGGTCATCTCGCTTGGGTGTGATATCTGGATCACACAGGACAGCGGTCAACGCAACACGAAGCTTCAACAGTCGACTAAGCATATAGTAGGTGCTATTCCACCTTGTGCTGACGTCCTGCACCACTTTGAGGGGGGTTTGGCTTGCATTTAGCTGCTGCTGCTTGCTTGCCAAAGCCTCTGCTGTCAAGCACGAATGCTTGAAGTGACCCACAACTTTACGAGAACGGCACAGCAGCTTCGCAACCTCCTTCAGTGCCAAGGCATGCCTGACAACAGTTTGCAGGCGATGCGCCATGCAAACACATGACAGCCAACCTGATCGCTCAGCCATCAGCCTCCCAGCAGTCACCATATTCGCAGCTTCATCGTGCGTCACAGCAACGACTTGTGAAGGCTGCAAGCCAAACCTCTTCGCGACATCCATGCTGTACATGGCAAGCCTCTCACCAGTGTGCGTACCTGAGAAAACGCCCGTCTCCAAGACACCACTGACGATTTTCCAGTCCTTGTCCACGAAGTGCACCGTGTGTGTGATGAAGGACTGGGTCGATGTAGATGACCAATCGTCAGTGGTGAGACAAACTCCAGCATCAGCGTCGGTGGACAGCATTGTTTTCAGCTCTTGAATACACAGCATGTGGCGCTTGTTGATCAGCGAAGCGAAGTTTTTTCTGGAGGGGACTTTGAACTCCGGTTCAGTCAGCTTCAGTAAATCGATGAGCCCTCTGTCCTCTACAATGGAGAAGGGTCGACTGGAATCTACAATCCAGTCGATGATCGACTCCGTCAACATGCCTGACCGCCTGCTGTCGCAGGTTCGCAAGTTACCTGTGCCGAAGAACGACGTGACGGGCTTCGTTCCAGCACTGGTCGTCGCACTGCCACTGCGCTCGACATTGCTGGTACATGCAGTCGTCGTTGCTGTCGACTGGGTAGCTGGTCCTTTCCCTACCGCGGCGGCGTACTGCTCTTTGTGAGCAGAGCTCAGGTGCTGAAACAAGTTGGTTCCGCTTTGACGGACGAACTCGCTGCTGCACAAGTTGCATCTTGCGACGCTACCAGCTTCCTCGAAATATGCCCAAACTGGCGATCTCTTCGTTCGACTGACTTTCGCTTTTACAGGCGGCGGCATTGTCACTGCTCTCCTCGCCAACAAATCAAAACTAACTGTAAGATTTTGACAAGAACTGAACAAATAGAAGGCCGGCAGCCACACTCACAGTTTCGCTACAACCTAAATTATGAGGCTTTCCAGTTGTTACACTTTACGGCTACGCTGACTAGTACAGTGACTGTGCGCGGAGTATGATGTCGGCAGCTCAGGGCGGAATGTACGTCTACGAGTACCCAAAAATGATCAAGCGCGCAATGATTGTACTGACCTGCGGCTGCATGCACGTGTACTTCGACGTACATGTACTTGTTTGCACGACGCGCTTGCATGATGCCGTGCAATGATGCATCATCTGCATGTACTGACAGCTCTCGCATGTAGTGTCATAATCGTTATCGATCATAACGATTATCGATTTCATCCGTAACGAGTGATATACGAGTAATCGGTATAATCGTTTCGGCCCTATCAAAGACACTACTGCTTCTGCTTGACCATAGCTTGATTGGACCTTCATGTACGTTCCTCACAAAACAAGTTTGAATAAAAGTGTGGGTTGGGTAACTGAGGTCATTTATAACTTATAAGTACAGCCCAATGTGCGCACACGCACGTACATACACATGCACGCAGGAGGCGAGTAGCGGTATGTATTCGGGCTTCCCCTGATTGTACATATATACATTTTGTTCTTCATTGCTTTCTGGGCAGGCGGAGTGACATTGCTAAGGGCTGCAGCCAAAAACCACAACCGTGTTACAGTTGTCTGCGATCCATCTGATTATGAGCGGTAAGTCGTTGCATACTGTCAAGAATGCAGACCCCCGCGTGCAAATCCCGCAAGCAGTACTGTCTCGACAGAATTTCAAGTTGACACAACATTCCTAATGCAGTACTTCGCACATTGCATCCTAAAACGAGGTCACTTGCAATTCTGCCGGGACAGCAGTCAGCACTGACAGTGGAGCTGCACACTGGCGGGGGGGGGGGGGGGGGGGGGCTATATACTCTTGACGCTGTGCTACCACTATTGTGACCATTGTGCTGATGACTTCAATCCCTGCCAAACATGGATGATGTGTGGTGTGTGCTCCATATGGGTAGTGTCACTGCACTAGTATGTGTACTCCATATACAGTGGTCCCTCTATAATCCGGCACCATTTGTGCCACGAAAATCTGCTGGATTAGGGAGGGTGCTGGATTAACAAATCTGATTTACTGCTGCAATGTGCATGAAGAGGACATTTTGGCTACTGAAAATTGTGCTGGTTTATCGAGGGTGCTGGATTATAAAGTGCCGGATTAGAGAGGGACGACTGTAGCTACCATTGGCATTGCCTTTTTTTAAAGGGGAAGTCCGGTGAAAAATTTAAATTTCACAGTCCGTAGAGTTCGGGGCGCTGAGTCGAATGGTCTTTGTCCGAGGAGGCTGCGGCTTATGGTTCGTCAGATACGCCCAATCGAACATGTGCGAATTTGAGCGCGCATCACCCAGATCCAGGTGATGACGTCACAGCGTGCAGCCAGGTAGCCACACCATCTAGTTGTGTACAAAAATGGCCATATTCGGAGCGCGTTCGATTGGGGAACCGTTTATCGCAGCTTCTTCGGACCAAGACCATTCGATTCAGTGTTACAAACACTACGTACCCTGTGATTTTCAGCTCGGTAAACCTGGAGGTTATACCGTATTTTAGCCGTTTCCGAGTTGGACTTTTCCGTTGGCCCATCTACATCATGGTCTATGCGCTCTGCGCTGCGTGCATGCAGTGCGTGCAGTGTCTTATCTAGCTAGCTGTAGTGCATGCAGTCAACAAACTCATGTCACAACTGACACAAGACTCAGAAAACTAGTCAACACACGGACTTGTCATGTACTACACTCGTATCAGTCGTATTGTACAGTCATGTAGGCAGAGAACGTGCGTTTCTCCTTGCCGGTGCGGGTGGTTGTGCTTTGAGAAAGAAAATTTTAGTTTTCCGCACCCGCGGCGCCTCATTATTTTATGCTACAGCGATGAGTGCACAACCGTGACAAGTGACAAAACAGCGAACAGCTCTCGGACCTAGAACTTTCAGATTCCATAGCGTTGCGAGCGAAGAGTCGTGCCCGTGGTTCAAAGAGCCTGCACTGTTCTCCAATTGAGTAGTCCGAAATATTCCAAGTTCGCACCAAAACATCACCATGTGGCAGGCTACTGGAGTCTAAGCGAATCTAATCGGTATGGAACAACATTTAGAGCACTCGCATCACTCTTCTCCATTTTGGCGACCCTGCTCTCCAGCGATCTGATAATTACATCAGCCTCGTCTGCAATAGCTGCTGCTTCTTCATCAGTCGGAAACTCAGTAGCGCTCACTCTTGACCGGCCCGCGCGGCCATTCCTTCAGCTGACTACCGAGGTTCTCAGCCCCAGATCGAACTCATGAAGGTCAGCCATGGCTGTATCCTCACTCTCACAAGGAGTTACATGTCTTCGGGGTCGCTTGCACCACCTAATATCAGTCGCCAAATCATTTGAAATAGCACTGACACTATTGCTTTCACGCACTCCTTTTGACCTAGCTGCACGCTATGACGTTGCAGAGGGTGTGGCGCGGCCGCATGACGTCATGGCGCATCCCCCGAAACTCAGTTTTTCAAACGGAAATATCTCGAGAACGCTTTGTCGGAGACACGTGGGACCAACACCATTCGACTCAGCGGCCGAAACTCTACCGACCCTGAAATTTAAATTTTTCACCGGACTTCCCCTTTAAAGTTTTTTTTCTGTGTGTGTGTGTGTGTGTGTGTGTGTGTGGTGTGTGTGTCCTGCCTATGCAATGCCCTGGTCTGCAGGATATCGGAGGAAATGGCGGGAGGTGAGGCTGGGGACACCAGTGAAGAAACACGCCAAGCCCTAGCTTTGAAGGTGAATGCCGCTGTGATCACCTCCCTGGCCACTGGCCTGCTTTTAGGGGAGAATGTTTCTAGAAATTGTCGACAGCGAGGGATTTTCATAACGAAGTGATGTTGGCAGTTTGGCAGTAATTAAATTCCGTTATGTGAGCTTTCGAGGGAACTGTGTCAATGAACACTGCAGTACACTGTTACGTGCGGTAAACTCTCAAGTGTGTGTAGTGTGCGGTATGTGTGTAGTGTTTTATCAGGAATTTGATTTTGGTGTTTGCCAATTGTACCGATATTCAATTCCCGCCGAGAGTGTCCAAAGCAGTATGAATATGCTTCTTCTCCAACTCGCATTCGCTCTACAGCCTTGAATCACTTGACAGGTAGTGATGTACAGTAGTAATACAACCACACAAAGACTGACGAGAGAGCTTGGAAGCTCAGGGCCCTACGCTATGCTTTTTTGCCTTGATGACCTAGACAAAAAAAAGCATAGGGATGTTATAAATTCTTTCAAAAAATCCTTTTTTTAAGACATAATCTGGGATTCGAACCCGCACTATCGCGCGCCCTGCATGCATTCCCCCATACAATTCGCATACATACCCATTCTTCCAAGTTGTTTCACATTGTGATCTTGCATTTGAAAGCCCTATTTGAATATGCATTGTGGCCAGCCGTCTTTGATGGCACGGTACGGTAGGGGTAGGTACGGGACAGGTACGATCGAGGGTAATACGACACCGTCTCCCGTACCGTACCATCAAACACAGCTGGCCACATACAGCTGCCCGCAATATTCAAATAGGGCTTTCGAACGCAAGATAATAACGTGAAGCAACTTGGAAGAATGGGTATGAATGCGAAGTGTATGGGGGAATGCATGTAGGGCGATAGTGCGGGTTCGAATCCCAGGATATGCCTGAAAAAAATAGGAGAATTGAAAAATTTATAACATCCTATGCTTTTTTGCCGTCAGATACGGATAGCGCCAGGCGTGACACAAACAAACAAACACACAAATACCAAACGAGAGAGCTTGGAAGCTCAGGGCCCTACGCTATGCTTTTTTGCCTTCATGACCTAGACAAAAAAAAAGCAAAGGGATGTTATAAATTCTTAAAAAAAAATTTTTTTTAAGACATAACCTGGGATTCGAACCCGCACTATCGCGCGCCCTGCATGCATCCCCCGATACACTTCGCATACATACTAATTCTTCCAAGTTGTTTCACATTATGATCTTGCATTTGAAAGCCCTATTTGAATATGCATTGTGGCCAGCCGGTCTTTGATGGCACGGTACAGTAGGGGATAGGTACGGGACAGGTACCATCGAGGATAATACGACACCGTCTCCCGTACCGTACCGTACCATCAAACACAGCTGGCCACATACAGCTGCCCGCAATATTCAAATAGGGCTTTCAAACGCAAGATAATAACGTGAAGCAACTTGGAAAAATGGGTATGAATGCGAAGTGTATGGGGGAATGCATGTAGGGCGATAGCGCGGTTTCGAATCCCAGGATATGCCTGAAAAAAAAATAGGAGAATTGAAAAATTTATAACATCCTATGCTTTTTTGCCGTCAGATACGGATAGCGCCAGGCGTGACACAAACAAACAAACAAACACACAAACAAACAAATACCAAATTAAAGCTGTGTGGACCCTGGCTAGCGCCAGACGTTACTGAAGTAACGTCTTCTGCATAGCTACGGGAATTAAAGCTGTGTGGACCCTGGCTAGCGCCAGACGTTACTGAAGTAACGTCTTCTGCATAGCTACGGGAATAAAGAGAACTGTGTTGCACTGCATGTTCATACAACCACGCAAAGACTGATAAAGAGAACTGTGTTGCACTGCATGTTCAGGTGTGTCTTGACGTAGTACATAGACGCTTCATGTCGTCTCTTTTCCTTGTGCTCTGGCCACACTTTACACTACAGGCTTTCAACCACACAGCAGCGTACGATAATGCTATCTCGGACTACTTCAGGCAGCAATATGGCAAGGGTGAGTTGCCTCTCTCCTCTCTTCTGGCCAATGGGCACACACTGTAAAGTTGGATCATGGCGTCAGCGGTGCAGCAGCATGATGTCCTTTCATCTAAGTTACTACCAGTAGTTAGTTTTGTTTTTCAAAGAGTTCACACATTCCAACGCATCCAATGACACACTACCTAGTCTCTATACTTTGTGCGACATGCGGGGGAGGATGGGCCTTGCCTGGAATTTTTGGGAAGGAGAATTTTTTTTCGCAGCAAAGAGACCATGTAGTATGAGTGTTGAGTCTAAGTAAAGTATTTCTTTCTTGTAACTAAGTTGTTAGTGACCGGCTGTCTGCGCTATCCGACAGGGCATGTGGTGGTACTCTCTGTTTGACGTGTCCACGGAGATAGTGTAATCTGTGTGCCTCCGCCGGCGAGCATTATGATGATTGAATTCTGTTCTGCGTTGCGCTTGGCTTGACATTGTTTTGCCTGCAGGTGTCAGCCAGATGCCGCTGCGCTATGGCATGAACCCTCACCAGAAACCTGCTCAGCTGTTCACAACAGATGCTAAGCTGCCTCTGGATGGTGGGTTCTCAGCTTTGTAGTGCCTTTCTTCCAATCTCTGTAATTTTTAAGATGGTGTAGTCGTAGTAGATTGATGTGTAGGGATGTACCTCTCTATTTAATAGAACTGTTAGTACAGTGGAACTCACTCACGTAGTGCGTACTCTCATAGGATATAAGTTTGCTTTGTACATTCCCATTCCGTTCTCTGCTGGGCTGTGCACTTCAGTATGTATTAAAACAAAACAAAACCAAAAAACATACATTATCCCGAGCACGATTGTATTCATCCATACTGAAGTATATCAGGATGGCAAGTATCTGGGATACTAAGTGCATTTTCCTGCCGTCCATGTAACAGAGTTCTACTGTGTACTTTAGAACAGCCATGATCCTTATGCTTATTCTGGTATTTCTTGCAACACTAGTACATCTGCTCATCCTTGTATCTTCTGCTTGTCTTTGTTCAGTGCTGAATGGCTCGCCAGGATTCATCAACCTCTGCGATGCCCTGAACAGCTGGCAGCTTGTGAAGGTATGTCTGCCTCTTGCCAAGTGGTCTGTTTATAGTGCTTGAACATGTTTAATGTCAGAAGTCCACAACCTATGACTCTGTGTCAAAATTGGATGTACTCTGACACTAGTATATGAAACCAAGAGGGTGCAGCTCGAATGGGTTGCTGTCACAGCGAACCTGGCTTGCAAGCAGATTTCAAATAGGTCTCCTGATGCACAACTACTGCTCAGTTGTACGCACCACACCACTTTCCGCCGCATATCTGCTCCAACTATGATGTAATCCCGTAATTTCGCCGTGACCGGCTCCCATGCATTCAAAGTTTAAAAGTCATCATCTGCACAATCTTGGTTTCGTGTACTCTGCCTCTAGCCATAGCGAAGTGCGGTACGTGTATACGGTGAGCAGGCCCCCTCGTGTCGCATGCAGATGTAGTTTTATTATGTACCAAAGTGGGTCCCCTACCAGGAGTGCCCATTCAAGTCACTACAGGCAGTTGTGTCACCCTATTGTGAGGGGAAATCACTCGAACGTATGTGAGTCCATGCGAAAACCTGGATCCCAAACTCCTTTTTGCCATGACTATGGTCCGGCTGTGATATGGTACTTTCAAGGCCATTGTAGTGTGCAGCATCATTGTGTACTCCAGGGACATCTGAGCCTCGGTTTCACGCACGTGAAAACATGTGTGCGCACGAATACACAGGAAGCGTATTGCTGTGTGCGCATGTCATTGTACCTCATTCAGCATCACAGTCAATGTCCATTCCGTAGCTGGTGGATTTATCTCCAGAGGTGTGCTGTTGTGATGTTGCTTTTTTGAAGTTTTTTCATTCCTATGTGATTCCATTCGCCTGCTTGTCTCTCTGGTGGCATTCGTCTTTGTCACTGTACATTGTTTGGCTACGCTTCCGTCAGCCCCAGGCCTTGATGAGGATTGTCAAATAATTTGCTCCGCCGATTGACTCAATTGCACCTGACTGTCTGCTTTGGTATTTGGCGGATGGCCGGTCCTTTGCAAGCACTTTTTTCCATCGTCGTCTTTCATTTCAAACTTAGGTCTTTGGTGTGGATCACCGTGCCGTGTATTGCAACTGAGCACCAGTGCTAGCGTGTGTGATTTCTCCCTGTGTCTGCCTCTACCGCTGCTTTTTCGGACGCTACGTCATCTAACTGTCCTGTGGCACACTTCTGTCTCGTCGTGATGCAGGATTCTGAGGAGCGGACGCACTGGGCACGCAAGTGTCACGACGCTCTGGATGTCCTGCTGAATGATGGCCGGCGAAGTTGTGACACACTCTCTGCATCGACACCTGTCGATCCCACGCCAGAGCCAGCTGCTGATCCCGTTTCTACGTGTCACACTGCTTTTGCAGCTCCGTCATCGTCATCGCCATTGTCCTCGCTCTCGTCCTCACTCCCGTCACCATCTTCCTCGGGGAAAAAGATTTCACTTGCTGATGCGCTCAAGTCAACTGTGGTGAAAGCTGCGATTTGCAGTCAAGTAGTAGCCCCTAAAACATCGGGGGATGTCACAGCAGGTTCTTGTGTTACTCCACAAAAGCGCCCTGCAGAACTGCAGGCACCTGATGCAGTCTCCAAACGTATTTGTGTCAACTCGACTGCTACAGCATCAGCGTGTACGGTCCCAGCAAGTGACGCGTCAGCAAGTACGGCACCGCCTGGGTCTCCAGTAGCATCCGCGAATGCTGAGAAGACTTCGGATTCCACAACCTCTCCAACTGCATCGCCCAATAAAAATAAGGTGGCCGACCAGTCTCTTGCAGAGGTGTCCGCGTCTTCACCTCCTTCGAAACCCGAAGATCCGTCAGATTCGGCCACATCAACAGCTGACACGACTGCAGATGAATCATCCGAAAAGGCAACCGAGTCGTGTGCGAAGTCTTCCAAATCTTCAACCGAGAAAACTGCCGAGTCCTCGTCATCTTCTGATGTGCGCACGTACCCACTGAAATCCGAACCGAAGTCCGACTCTGAGGTTCTGGAGCAGATGGGACTAAAAGAAGTCAAGCCTGGTGAAATCAAGGACTGCTGTAACACGCGCCTGCAGGACTTTCTCCGCGCAATTTTCGCCCAGATGGACCGGCAGCACGACCGCAGAGTGGAGTTCCAGGTAAGAGAGAGAGAGAGAGATGTGCTGGTGAGGTGTTCGTTTGAGTGTGCCTGTACATGTACATGTATGTATAGAGACAGTGTAGCAGTCATCATGTTAGTGATGCCTGTGCATGGCCCGGCTTTGCGCTGCTGCTGTTCTGTTTCTGGAGCATGACCCCAGTAGCTAGCACTGATTTCACGTAATGTGATTGTCACTGTGTTTGTTTTGGTCAAGGCACCTTGTGCACACAAGGTGTTGTCCTCCCACCTTCATGATAGCGTATTTTGAAATGTTCCTAGTTTTTGCCACCTGTGTTGCTTCAAGGGTTTGTTGATTTCGTTTTTGATGGGTCCTAGTTGCCGACTCCTTTTGCCTGTTGTACAGCTTTACTTGGACGAGCGTCGGAGAGAATTTGAGGAGGACATGCGCACTCGGGAACGCTCGTACCGCGAGGAAGACTGGTTGCGGTACCAGCGCAGCAACATGGACTTGGTGGATAGCGTCAGAGAAATCCATGAACACTTGAAGTCCGTATTTGACGGGTCCGACTATGACACTGACCATAGTGGGTGCACGTAGAACAGGCTCCGTTAACCCAAGCTGGCCTTTGTTTTAGTAATTATTCCATCCTAAACGCCGTTAGGAAATCCATGAACACTTGAAGTCCGTATTTGACGGGTCTGACTATGACACTGGCCATAGTGGGTGCACGTAGAACAGGCTCCGTTGACCCAAGCTGGCCTTTGTTTTAGTAATTATTCCATCCTAGTAACGTCGTTCTATGAATTGGCTTGTGTAGGTCCAAACCCGCTTGCTCGGATTGCAGTCCACGCTGGTTTCATTCGACTTATCCTTCAACTTCCAACTGACTTTATGTCCGCTCTTCAAGTTATATGTGTAGACAAAGAGCTCCGTCTAGACTCTGACTAATGTGCACTTCCCTGCAACGCCTAAGCACGTGCGGTTCTTTGGCCATTCCGTGTGTCCCGTGTTTGTGTTTGTTTGTTCGTGTTTGTGTTTGCCGACTGGAATTTCACATCAATTCGGGTTTTTTGCTACATTTGTGGATCTGCTGCCGTTCGAAAAAAGTTTCGACCGCCATATCTCTGCTTCATCTGGTGATTTAGACAGCTCTTACACTACTAAGTCTGCCCGCGTTTTATCCGAGTTTAGTGCCCAAGCCAATCAGTGTGTACTGCTCACGTAACTATTTATTAAGTCTGCCCGTGTTTTATCCAAATTTAGTGCCCAGGCCAATGCGAGAGCTGTGTGTGCTGCTCCTGTAACTACTCTGTTACCCTGTCCACGTACGGTATAAGTCTGCCCGTGTTTTATCCAAATTTAGTGCCCAGGCCAATGCGAGAGCTGTGTGTGCTGCTCCTGTAACTACTCTGTTACCCTGTCCACGTACGGTACACATACTGGTATGCAAAGTGGTCTCTCTTTTTTTTAAATTCTTTTTATTTGCACCCGCTGTTTAGAAAGTGTGCCGAGGATTCAAGGCTGAGATTGCAAGTGCTCCCCTGCACATGCACACTAGCGCACATGATGCAGACCAGACACATTGTACTGGTGGTGCCGATTTGACTTTTTAATCTTTTTACATCGTGACTGACTGTGTCCACGCCAGTTGGGGTGTCTGCTACCAATCTCATACTGTTGCCGTTGTCAGTTAAGTGTGATGGAAATACTAGATTGTAACATGGAAATTGTGGGCACAAGTTATGCGATCGAGTCCACCAACTAAACCAGATTTTTGAACCTGCAGACGTGCACAATCTAGCACAAAACTGACTGTTCAAAATCTTGTTTAGATGGTGGACTCGATCGCATCACTTGTGCCCACAATTTCCATGTTACCAATTTTTTTCCTTGGCTCACCATCTGAAATACTAGATATTCCTTTTTTCTGGATTCGCGCCGTTTCTTGTAGTGGGTGTGTGAGGTTTGAGGTGGATTGGTGAGTGGGTATGAGCAAGAAGCATCGAAGTTACACATCTCAGGTCACGTCAGTCAAGTTCCTGTCCACAAGCCCAGCACAGCACAGTGTATCTGCCCTGTGTGGTCACTGGTCACAGGGGGTTTCCCTACACACTAGCATTGCAGTGTAGTCATCTGTACATCATTACATGTATGGACTGAAAGGACTCCGGAAATGTTCATAATACTCCTGATATTACACCCGCCAGCACCACTGGAGTATCACTGTGTGGGATGTACCTTGAGTTCGAGGTGATTCTTAAAATGCCTGATACCATGACCGTGAGGTTTATTTGGGGGTGGGGCCATGCTGTTGAGTTGGACGTGTAATTTCAAGCCGAGTATGATAAAAAAATGTTTGGAATGGGAAATGCCGCCCGCACATAGATTTATCCACGGGGGGGGGGGGGGGGGGGGGGGGGGGCAGTAATTGCCCAGTCTGTGGTGTTCCATGCTGGCCAGGCATCTGGCGATGAGTTTTTTGGATTTAGTCAAAATTGTGCAGAGTTTGGGCCCTAATACCGCAATAATGGCATACGTGAATGGTCCACAGCGGAGGACTGTGTATTTAGTGATGTACTCAGCATGACCTGTGTAAATGCAGGTGTCCAACATTAGCCCCTCTCATTATTTTGTCATTGCAAGAAACTAAGATCCAGCTATCCATTGTAATCAGTGATTTCCTGTACTTCCGCTAAAGTGATTGAAATTATTGCTGGCAGCAGTCCAGCGCCGTGTGAAGTCAGTAGCATGATTAACGCCAGCTGGCAGTACGGGAATGTTTTAGGAGTTTTTGTTTCTTAGCCCAGAATTTCTGATCTTTTTCTGCATGAAATTCATTGTCCTGTGCTTTGGTGTGGAGTTGCAGGGATTCCAATCATTCCCCTGCCTATGCTTCCTTGCAGAATTACCACTGGTTGTAGAATGATTTGCAGTGCTGGTCCGCTTGGTTTCTCATGCTTTGCCGAGGAATACGAGGACAGGCCATCTTTGATTAACGCTATGTGCTAGGCGTGCACCTCTTACCGTCATACTCTGATCTTCTGTGATATTTTCTGCAGGAATTGCGTGCAGCATTGAACTTGCCCGCTGCAGCATCTTTCAAGCACGTCAGTCCTGCTGGTAAGGAGTTGTGTGTGTGTGTGTGTGTGTGTGTGTGTGTGTGTGTGCGTGCGTGCGCGCATGTGTGTGCGTGCGCGCATGTGTGTGTGTGCGCGCGTGTGTGCGCGCAGGTGTGTGTGTTTGTGTGTGTGTGTGTGTGTGTGTGAGTTTGTGCATGTGCCATGTCGTACAAGACTGTGCTGTGTGTGGTGTTGTTCCTCTGGCATGGATGAGTCATTGCTCGTGCCCTGAACGCATGTTGTGTGTTGTGCTGCTGTACTATGCAGGTGCCGCTGTTGGTGTTCCATTGACCGCCGAGGAGGCAAGCCTGTGCATGGTGGCCGACATGAAGGACTCCTTGACACCGCTGGCTACAGCCTATGCACGCGCAAGAGGTAAGGTTTCAACTACAGTGGTGTTGTGTGTACATTGACTGATATGTGCTCCTTGTTCACGTCATAGAGTTCAGTTTCTTGGCCTGTACATGTACATGGAGAACATGCCACGGAAATCCTCTGTGTTCCTCGCGTGGTTTGGGGTGGCAAACTGGTAGTAATATCCGACACATGGCTGTCTGAGACGGGTCCCGCTGTAGGAAAACTCAATGTGGATACTCTGGGAAATACTGTGGTAGTTGAGTAGGGTGTCGACTGGTCCCTCCAAGTAATTATCTCAACTTGAAAACTGAGTTTGTATCAATCCATATTAATTTTTTTGGTTAGCAGTTTTGATGCCTACAAACCCAAAGCTTAATTTGTTTCAAATTTTGGCACTTGTCCCCTTTTGCATTTAAACTCAGTGTGTGGTTGGTGTCTTTTCCTGTTGTATTGCGGTGCTGCTTTGCTGCCTGCTGCAGGAGCTGACAGGATGTCTTCATTTGGTGACTGGGTTGCGCTGAGTGACGTGTGTGATGTTCCCACTGCCAAGATCATATCAAGAGAGGTGAGCCTCCTGCGATCA